TGCTGGTGTTCTTGATATACGGAATTATTATTTGCTTGAGATTTGATGTACTTCTCGCTGTTAGTGGGTGGTCTGTCTGTCTGTCTGTCTGTGTATCTGTCTATCTGTCTGTCTGTTTAGATGTAGCGTCTTAATGGCTGGACCAATCTGGATGAAATTTTTCACATGGGTTATCCTGTCACCCTAGTAATGTGCGTTCGAAATGAACTCAACGGAACTGGTGAGCCGGTGCAGGTGTTCTTGGTATACGGAATTATTATTTGCTTGAGATTTGATGTACTTCTCGCTGTTTGTGGGTGGTTCACCGAGAAAGTCTCCTGACGCTGAAAGCCGCTTTAGCGGCTTTCGCTTCCCGTAAAAGTTATGCAACTTTGAAATCTCATATCTCGCGAACCATATATTATATTTAGACAAGTTTTACATCGTGTGAAAGATAATCTACTGGACTAAGTATAATTTCAAAATTGAGATAAAATATTGTGATCATCTTATGAAAATTGGCAAAATCAAAAAGCATAAAAAACTTCTGAAAATTGCTCAAATCTAATTGACAAAACTTCAATTTGTTTTCGATTAAACCTGGTACATTATCAACAACATTTGTAGAATTTAAAGATAGCTTTCCAGTGATACCATTAGATTGAAGTTATGTCGCACCATTCAAATTTTAGAAGCATTTTTCTTCGTGATTTTGTTTGTCGCAAGATCGAGGCGACGTCAAGGTGACGTAAATAACGACCTAACACATTTACGCCGTTACGCAGCGACGTTAAGTAATTACGTTGGCACGTAGCACGTTTACGTTCCCTATGAAATAGACTTTTCCTCGCATGCTCGTAACGTCATTTACTTAAGTTCGTACTCGTGAAGCGACTAACGACTTGTAAACGATACACGGGGAAATTTACGCATTACATTCAGCCTCAAAATATGTTCGACTAAAACACACAATATGCAGTGTTATTGCCGTTTTATTGCATAAAGATTTGAAAAATACGAATAGCAAAAATAAGGATTTCTAAAAACGGAATGATGGAACATATCGATGGATGCATTGTTTAGCGACATTGCTGAATTTTATTGTGCCATATTTTCTTCTTTCGGTAGATGAATACTATCCAATATTTCATCTGGACAAAGCTTTCGTTTAAAATTCATTGTAAATATAGCGATATCAGGAATGTAGCGTACATGCAGTAATTTCGAAAATCTAATGAAGCCGCAAAATGTAAAACACTGACCAGGTGAGCTACTGGTGCCACCATGTCTTCCGTGTACCCGTTATCATTTTTTTTTTTTATTCAATTTTCATGATATCCAACGGTGAATAATTAGCCTTGATGTTTCCGGCGGAACCCCATAAATGCATGAGGATCAAATATTTCGTTTTGGCCATTCATTTTCGTCCCATATCCAAATAATAAACGTATATAGAATGGCCTTTATATTCTACCAATTTTACTATGTTCGATCAAAATTCGTCTGAATATAAGGGTTTTATCTGCGGCCGAGGATATGATACTGATGCAATGATGACACAATCTGAATTCAAGCTGTGAACGACCAGATGTGCAATTGCGCAATATACCTCACGCAAAGCGTCACGCACGAAACGTCGCAGGAACGTTATTACGACAATGTCGTCGCCGCCCTTTGCGTCGTTACGCAAACTTGGCGTCAAAATAGTTGATCAATTTTGTTCGCAAACCATTTGAATCGATAGTACAAATTCTCAAATAAAATGAGTTATGCGTATGTTAAGAAAGTCATCCGTATATTATCCGAAAGGTAATTTTGTATACTTTTCAAAATTTGACTTATATTGATGATACATTTCTAAAAAAGGTATTAAATATTACCAAAATACAAAAAATTAGTAGATGGGACTAAAAATAGGCTTACACATCTCATTAAAACATCTCGTGAAAAATAATGCCAGTTAAAAATGAAAGACTTGATAAGCTTTTATATGACATATTACAGATCATCTGATATCTAATGGTTTAGAAGTTATTTTGATTTGAAATTAGGGATATTACAATTTTTTAACCCGTCAAATCGATGCGAAGCCGTGAGAGGTCAGGGTGAGAGAGTAGCGTCGTTCTGGGGATTCAGAGTTCAAAGAGTTAAGTTGTAATCATAATGCCTAGGCGAAAGAAAACTATTAAGCGATTATTGGAAGTACAAACACGCCAAAATTTGGACGAATGTTGCAGCAGCAGTCAGATTGAAGATGACCCGCATAGCGTACAGTCTACTACTTACTCGCAACGTTACTGACGTTACACAACATTTCAGTAATAGAATGAAAGTTATTTTTAGACACTTGCAAAAACCAGGTCTGTTGGGCAAATACAAAGTTTCTGACTATTTCTTCCGAATCGAATTTTAGATGCGAGGTGCACCACATGTCCATTCTTTTTTGTGGCTGCAGGATGAAAATGGCAAAATTCCCCCTCGTTATGATTCAGAAGAGTCTCGATCTGCTTGTGAAGCATTTATCGATTCTGTGATAGCCGGAAAACTCCCTCAGGGTAACTCTGATATTCTGGACACAGTGTCTACTTTTCAAAGACATAGCCACACTTTTACATGTCGCAAGAATAGTCGTAAAATTACTATTCATTCCGATGAAGGCCATGGTGTTAATGATTGTACAATAGAAAGACAAAGAATTCATTTAAACACGTGCAGATTCAAATTTCCCCACTTTCCAATGCCTAGAACAATGATCCTTGATGCACCAAATGAAAATGTTGACCCAGAAGATCGCAAAATATGGAAGAGCGATTATGTCATGCTTAGAAAATTTATTTTACGTCACACTCATTCTGATCGAGACACTCAATGTAATCAAGAGTTTTTGACCCTAACATTTAATGATTTCCTTCATGCAGTGGGCCTAACGGAAGAAGCATATTATAATGCGCTTCGGGCATCTCTTGCTGAGAATAAGTGTGGATCGCAGGTGTTCTTAAAGCGTGACTGTTGTGATTTGTGGACCAACAATTACAACAAGAACATTCTGGAAATACACCAAATGTCCTGGCTACCCTGAGTTTCAGAAAACTCTGATTGTGATGAAAAAGCTTCATCCATTTCACCCTTTTTAGTGGGACTTTTGAGGCCTGTTATAGTTCTGTTCATTACTGTTATTTTAGCGTTCCGTGCTTTTATTACACGCTCCTGTCGTTTGTAACTGCTTCCCATTCTTTCAATCAAAGCTGCAATACGAGCTGCAGACGCTGATACTTGTTGTGTTGCTAAAATAGCGTACTGGCTGTCGTACCCTTTTTTACGAAGGTGGTCGGCAAGTGCTTCTACGGAATCTTTTATGAATTCTGCATCACGTTTACAATCTTTGAAATACGCCGTCATTGCCCCGCAACAAATAATCGTCAGCTAGTGCAAAACCTACTCGCCTCTCGCCTATTTCTTGCGAGGAAATTTTCATGAATTCACTTCCAAGCGCACAAATTAAAGAGATTTAAATCTGAACGAAGTTAGGCCGACCACTAAAGTGCTACAGATACTAAAATGAATTGGATCCTCGCGATATACTGTATGCCGCGGGCCTGGGTGTCAGCGGAGATCCTGGACGCCTACCGGCTTGTACTTATTTACTAAGTACTAAAAGAAGTTTTTTTCATAGTCTTTACTTTGTTCATTGCCGGAAAAGCCATAATAAAAAAATTTTTAAATTGTAATTTAAGAGTTTTTATATAAAGATTCTTCAAAAAACATAAACAATTATTGCTTTGTAATAAAACTTTAATTTATTTTCAAGTTGGCAACCATGACGTTCAAGCTTAAAAAAAGATACCTGCCTATTCGAATAAATCAAACTAGATATAACATGATTTATCTAAGAAGCACGCACCATGTAAATAAAATAGGATATTACTCTCGTTGAATTTAAACTATTCAATAGATAGGACAGTAAACTTTGCCATCATTCCTAAGATTTTCAGGTCAAAATTGCCCGTACTATTTCATAATTTTTATTTCAAAATTAATGTGCAATTTTGTGATTTGTCATATTATTTCCTATAACTACATACTTTAATTTCGCCATTGCTATCAACACACTACATATTGAAAGCACTTAGTGACTTGGGAAATTACCTTAACAGAGAATTCAGTTTTGACAAAACATTGTAATCGATACCTCAAGCAACTGTGATGGGCATTTCCTAACAATTATGTCTAAGCCGAGAGATTTTGAATTGAACAGAAACAGTACAAAATCAAGACAGCGGAAAAAATAAACATGTATGTAAAATGATAATTTTTTGTATCATATATTGAAGCATTTTTCTTATCTTTGTGATATTTCATGAAACGAGTCCGTTGTAATACTAACCTAATGGTAAAAGTGCGCGTATTTTTATCTTTGATTGAAACCTTCTATTGGAAAAGAAATGGTCGCAAGATGATCAAAAAATCGAACTCTTCTAAACTGATGGTGATTTTAATAGCCAAGGAAAGTCGGGTTTAGTAAAAATATAACTGGCTATGAATATTGCCGGACAAAATGTTAGACGTTTAAAATGAATTCCATTTTTCTAATATTTAAACATCACAATACAATTTTAAACGAACTAAAGATCGTGACAAAAAGTGTGACGTTATATATTGAAATAACATGTGATTAATGGATAGGCAAATGCTTGGTATACTACAGGCAATCATTTAGGGTGTACAACTAACATAAATGAGATTGAGATAATCGCATGTAGCAGACGATTAAATAACAACAGGCAAGATACCATGCATGTAGTAATATTTCGTCAAGTATTAATGAAATACTTTCTTGCTTTAATTTGATTCCAGTGTTTTCTACGCGTCGCAAACTTAAGAGATATATTGTTAGAAAAACTTTAGTGAAATATACCAGAATAATCAAATAAAAAATTACCGTTTTGACATTTAGTACGCAGTTTTCTAAGTAGGGTACACAACAGGTAATCAAAAAATTATTTGAGGCTCACGAATTTAATTTCATTGTATTCTCTTTGTATTTTGTTATGGAAGTTGAAGAAGCGTAACAAAATGAGTATTTCTCAACTTATGATAATCTACACATTCTGTTTTTCTGCATTTCTTTTGACATATTCAGCATCAAACAGTGTAAGTACTATTATACGAATTTTATTACTACCTAAAATATTTTAATTGGATTAAATAGCTGTATTGGAAAGATCAAAATCATTGACTCGATTCGAGTTGAAATGGAGTCACCATTAATCAAAAACTCTAAGTACCTCGACGCGTTTGAATGGAATAACTTGAACATGTCATCATTCATTCGCCAGTGAGACTCAACTTAGTGATAGAATCGACTTCGGGTCGGACTCGTCACGTAAATAATTGTACTATAGACCTGACTCACGGGTTTAAATAACTCTACCAAGCACTGTACTTACACAATTACATTTTAAATCATATTCACAATTTCTTCAAACACCCATAGACTGCCTGTCATCTTCCCATATTTGCTGTCCATGATAATGAAACCGTTCAAAGTTACTAGCCTGCGTCTTACAAGATCAGTGAATGACGACTAATATAAAAGTGGAAGTGTACATAACTAATAAATATATCCGAATTTCCTTTGTTAGTTGTCGTCGTATTTGAACTTTCAGTATATTAACCATAAATATTGTTTTAAATCTAGACCCAAAAACCAGATATCTCTGAACTTGAAAACTCAACGAAATGTGCTCGGAGTTTAAAATTAAACAGCACTGATAATAGAAACAGCTCCACGTGCTCCGAAAAGCCCACAGATCGGGGTTGGATTGTAGCTGCAGTATTTGGTGGCATAGTAGGTGAGAAAAAGTACAAATTATTGAAGATATGCTAAATTTATGTAAACGAGGTAAACCGAATAACGAATGGCGTTAGTTTATTAACAGACACTTTGTAGTTATATATTTTTGCATTGTTCTATTGTTTAATAAATAGATGTAACTCAGCAAGGATTTCTATACATATTGGGGATTTCGAATTATCCATAAAATTGCGTTAAATTCTATTTTCTTTTAGTTCTTTTCATAATTGCGATAATATACCAAGTAATATGTAACAAAGAACTATCAGATTCAGGAGGAGGAGGAACAAGAGGAGGAGGTGGTGGATTGAGTTTTGGTGGCGGGGGGTTCTCTCCTGGAGGAGGAGGCGGCGGGGGTTGTGGATGAAGATATTTTGATTTGGGGTTTTTTTAAATATGAAACAATATAATTATCATCAAGCACAGTTTTATTCACACCTCTTTATGTATTTTCTAAATGCTTTAATCAATGTATAATCAACGTTCCAATTTAAACTAGACGAGTTATAAAAACGGTAGAATCTATATATCATTGGTCATTCCGTACATTCTCATTTTAAACATTACTTCATTATTATTCGTTTTGTGTGCATCATAATGACATTTACACAATTTACATATAATATATTTTTACTTCAATAAAATGATAAAAATAGGGTAATTGTGTGTAAATTGGTGTTTGGTGCGAAAGGCAGGGATAGGTATATGTATGACCACCGCCGTATATATCCACAGCAGTTTCCATAACACAGACACATTTATGCCTTCCACACGAATATAATACTCAAAACAATATAGCAATTTGAATATTGCTTTTTTTGTTTCGGGACACCCCATGATGTTCAAGCTTATAGAAAAGATAACTGCTTATTTCAATAAAGTCAAACCAAATATATCATGATTAATATAAAAAACACGTTCCATGTAAATAAAATAAAATATTACACTAATTGAATTTGAACTATTCAATAGAAAGAACAGTAAACTTTGCCAGCATTCCTATGATTTTCAGGTCAAAATTGCTCGAACTAGTTCACAATTTTAAAATAAATGTGCAATTTGGGTATTGTAAAATTATTTTCATACCTAAATCCTTTGATTTCGAAATAAATTATTCTTACAAAAACAAGAATTAGCAATTTTGGATGAAATAGTAAACGTGAATAAAATGAAAAACGTCATCGACATGCGATCAACACAATACTGATTGATAGCCTGGAAGTTAATGAGTAGAGAAATAACCTACACAGATAATTTAGTTTTGACATAACCTGTCAATCGATACCACGAGCAACTGTGATGGGGCATTTCCTAACAATTTTGTCCAAGTCGAGAGACTTAGAACCGGGACAATACAAAATCAAGACAGCGGAAATGTAAAATTATAATTTTAGGTAGCATTGAAACATATTTTTTTTATCTATGGCTCTATGCCGTATTTCATGGAACGAGTGCGTTGAAATACTAACTTAAAGGTATAAGTGCGCGTATTTCGTCTTTGTTTAAAACTTCTTGTTGGAAAAGAAATGGTCGCAAGATGATCAAAACTATTAAAAACTAATAGTGGTTTTACTAGACTAGCATAGTCAGGTCTAATATATATATATTTGGTTATGAATATTGCCGGACAAAATGTAAGACGTTCAAAATGAATTCCATTTTTCCGATATTTGAACATCACAATACCATTTTAAACGAACTAAAATCGTAACAAAAAGTGTGACGTCATATATTAAAATGACATACGACTGATGGACAGCCAGACTCAGTATCGACAATCATTGAGAGTGTACAACGAATATAAATAGCTTTATAAAAATGCCAAAGCCCAGCTGAGAGACATAAAATAAAAATGTTTGTAAGCTAACAATCGCATGTAGCAGATAATTGAAGAACAACAGACAGATACCATACCAGCAGTGAAATTTCTTCAAGTTACTGAAGTTATTTAATATTATGAAGTTACTTTATTACTTTAATTTGATTTCATTATGGAAAATTAACAACATATGATTTACTAGGTATCGCCATTTTGAAAGATATATTGATAGGAATACTTTTTTAATCAATTATACCAAGAAAATTAAATGAAACAATTGACGTTTTGACATTTAATACGCAGTTTTCTAAATAGGGTACACAACAGCTACTTAAAAAAATTATTTGTGGCGTAAGAATTTATTTTTATATTATTTTTTCTCTTTGTATTTTGTTATTGAAGTTAGAGAAGCGTAACAAAATGAGTATTTCTCAACTTATGATAATCTACACATTCTGTTTTTCTGCATTTCTTTTGACATATTCAGCATCAAAGAGTGTAAGTACTATTATACGAATTTTTCTTACTACTTAAAATATTTCACTCTCTGTGATGAACTATTTTGATTGAAATAAATAGCTGTATTGGAAAGATCATAATCATTGACTCGATTCGAGTTGAAATGGAGTCACCATTAATCAAAAACTCTAAGTACCTCGACGCGTTTGAATGGAATAACTCGAACATGTCATCATTCATTCGCCAGTGAGACTTAACTTAGTGATAGAATCGACTTCGGGTCGGACTCGTCACGTAAATAACTCGTACTAGACCTGACTCACGGGTTCAGGTAATTCTACCAAGAACTGCACTTACACTCTTACATTTTAAATCATATTCACAATTTCTTCAAATCCCCATAGACTGCCTGTCATCTTCCCATATTTGTTGTCCATGATAATGAAACCGTTCAAAGTTACTAGCCTGCGTCTTACAAGATCAGTGAATGACGACTAATATAAAAGTGGAAGTGTACATAACTATTAAATCCTCCAGCCGAAGGAGGAGCAACAAGAGGAGGAAGTGGTGTATTAGGTTTTGGCGGCGGAGGGTTCTCTTCGGGAGGAGGATATGGGGGTGGCTGTGGCTAAGAAGGTTTAGGAACATTAATCATGATAAAATTGATTTTTCAATATTTCCAGATTTCAATTATTAAAAATGTTTATTTTTTGTCAGCGTTTCACATATTACAATTGAAATGGTACTTTTGTCTAGCTTGTTTTGTAATACATCTTGTAGACTGACTTGACGTTATCAATCATGAAAAACCGCTGTAGAGAGAAGTTAGTGCAAAATTTGCCGAAACCACCTGATTTGGTGTTTTTCTTCCACTTGATTTTCATCGAAAACGTGCGGGACAGTTTCTTTAGTTGTGTTTATAATTTGATAGTAATGAATTGCTAAAATAAACCTATCCATATTATTTTTCACCATAAATAAAAGTTTTACTTTGTTTGTAGGCTTAAAAGTATGTTTTGTGATTTTAGTGTGTTTATACCTTCTATCTATCTAAGTTCAAATGCCGGTTTTTATTAGTACGTATGTGTCAAGTCTTGCGTCCTGGTGGACATTGGCGTTAGTTTTTTTTATTTATCGCAGAATTGTGGTGCGTTCTGTTCGACGAACTCGAAAGATATTTCGCGATTATCGGGGATGAACGCTGATCGCAATTATAGGAATGAATTTGGAGCCTAAATTTGCAAATTATTTTCATTTTGATTGCTTTCTTTCGTATCGGCCTTGATTGTCTTTATCGTCAACGTAAAATAAATACCAATAACTTTAGTACGGGCTCAAGGACTCATTTTATGTTTGTATTTTTGTTTATGTTATGTTTTCCTTAAGTAAGATTTCGGCAATGTCGTCAAAGCGTATCCGCAAATAATTATATTAAAATTGACTTAATGTCATTACTACATATTCAATTTAGTATATATCTATTTGTCCAGTAATCTTTGTACTGTTATTTTATTAAATAATTGTATTGATGTTTCAAAATTTACAAAACGGCGCACTAAACTTGATATTCCCGCGACATTGGCGCACACTATGCTCATTTAAACTTTGAGACAGTATCATAGACACTGAAAATTAATGAATCTCTATAACACAAATAATACTATCAGTTTAGACGTTTTTGTTTATTATTGGAAACTGTGTCTAGATTCTTGTGTGGTCTTCAGAAATTCGCGAGTGTTATGTCATTAATGATTCTTTGATTTGGCGACCCGCGAGTCTCATGTCCCCGACCCGTGTTACCAGATATTCGAATCGTAAACTGCTATTCTAATATTCGATTTGATATTGGAATAAAGTATATTATGTGAAGTATACCGAAATCAGGACTTAGCTGGTATTTAAAGTTTGGTATGTTTGCATCCCGGAACGAATTTCGTCACGTGAAATAGGAAAAAGGTTTGGCAGGCCTGGGCAGGGTATCTGAAATTTCAGAATTGCCATGGAAATGAAGTTGCCATCAACCATTACCACCAAAAGGGCATTACTGACCATCTTTAAAAAATGAAACGGAATGCATACGTAAATAATTTTATTTATAAGTAATTGCTTGTCAAAAATGGTTCTGATAGTTGTGTTTGATAGTTGGATTTGTTGATTGTGATATGATATTTTTCCAGTAGTTTCATATTTCATATTAAAACAAACCGGTAGCCACGCAGGATCTCCATTGATATATGAACGATCTCTTAACGATCGGCGCGTTTTTCCCTGATGCCATGTGGTGAAACGCACATTACCAGGGTGACAGCATAACCCGCGTAAAAAATTTGAACCAAATTGGTCCAGCCGAACGCTATAGCTAGACACACAGACAAACAGCCAGACGAGATAGCACAACTGAGAATAAGGGTCCACAAGAGAAAAGGGTCTACAGAGATCCAGTGAATACAAGAAAATTTACGTTCATAGTTTTATGTGGCTGGATTGAACTAACATATCCGAAGATCCCCAATCAAATCAAAATTGCTCTCTAGCTCTCTCTGAATCAATTTGCTCTCTATTAAAAAAGTTGCAAGAATCACTGAATATCAATCACTAGACAATGCGGTGACGAACCATATATATGATTTAAAGTCAATTTACTAGACCAGGGTGGTCCAAAGTTGTCGGCTCCGCGAGCCACAAAATTATTTTGGCATTGGCCGCGGGCCACAATAGTGCCAGGAATAGGTAAACAGTGCAATACAAAACAAACACTTTTATTGTGCAAACACATAGTTATCAGACATAGCCATCACAGGCTAATAGAATTCGCATTCGATTTTTAGTTTTCTATTATGCCTATATTGTTAGCATATATTCCCGACCAAAAAGATGGGAAGCCATATAATAATTTAGATCAAACCGAATATTATCATTTTACCGAAAAATGATTTTTAATGAGAAAAAAAAGTTCTATTTTACCACTTTTTACTTATTATTCTGTTCTTTTCTAGTATTATAATATTGTATGAAATAAGGAATTAGTCTCCTTTAAATTTAAAAAAAATATTGTTTTATACAAAGCTTCGGTCAAATATAAGACATGGCAAAATAATATGACGCAATCTTAAGTGTTAAAAATATATTACTCACAAATAGCCTCGAGGTTATCAATCGGGAAATCACCTTTGAAGAGAATTTTGTTATAATTTGTGTGAAACAACGTGAGACTGGCCGCGCTTATATTTAGGCTGAACCTTCAAGTGGAAATTTTCACAAAAAAATTAGAAGTATATAAGATAACAGTTGTCTAAAACAATTATTTGAGTAGGAGCAAACAGTATCAATTGTTGTAGATAGAATCACTTTATATTAAGCTGTGTGGTATGTTTAGTCAGATGTTCACAGTAATAGTGCTTTAGATTAAATAAGACTTCCAAGATACAAAAAAACACCAAAATATTTTCTGGTATAAAATAATTTCTTTTTTATCCTGCTTAGCTTTGCGAATAGTATAAATCAGAATATGGAATCAAGTCAAGACTGTGGCAAAGTTTTGAAAGCTAATACAATCTACACATTATTTTTTGTTATATTTTTATCGACATATCCAGCTTCAAGTATTGTAAGTATCAGAAATATTTGTGAAGTTCTATTACTAGATTTGGACTCTACAGATTAGGATTAAACTAAATTGTATCAGAACGTAAATGATAAAGTTATAGTATATATATCAGAATGAAATATTTTCAATAAATATTTGTATAAATCTGATGAGAGTATATTGAACACTGTTCCATTTTTAATGAATACATAAATACACATATTCTGGCGTTAATGGCACTGTAACAAGAAACTTTTTTTTTCAATTCAAAACGAATGATGTAGCCTACCTTAATTAACCTTAATAGGTATTTTGTTTTAGCCATAAGGAATTAGATAAATCTTAGAATTAATTTTTCTAAATAAACATTTATACAGAGAGAAGAACATTTAAATGCATCCACACAACAGAATTCAACAATGTGTGTACAATGCACAAATTCAAATTGCACAAAGAATATAAATGAATCTATGTGTCAAGGTTCAACTAAGTATCGCGTTTGGATTGCAGGCGCTGTTGTTGGGGGTTTAATCGGTTAGTAATGAAAAAATGTTATAGCATTAGCAATTTAAGGATCTAGAAAAATATACCCAGAAAGGAAATCTAAGTGTCAATAATTTTTGAACATACAAAAATCTTTAACCTGACATTTTCAATAGAAATGCCATTTTTGTTTCAAATTACCATGTTGTGGATTGAATGTCGAGTCAAATTGATCACATTCGTTAGTCTAAGAGATAAAATAATGTTATTATGTAATAAAAACGCCTCTCATTTGTACATTCTCATTTTCAGCTCTCCTCGTGATAATTTCTGCGTTAAAAAACTGCCGTCAAGTGAGTACAAATGTTTTTTGAACTTTCTTTAAAGCTTCATAAACTACAACAAGTAAAATAAATAGAAAATTTCCAACAAGTGTTTATGATTATACATTGTTTTCAACAAAACTATTATATTGAATTCGGTGCGAGTTACACGCCCTTACCCCAACCAGGAATTGAATAATTTATTAAGAATCATATTATGAAATAAAATAATCATATTCGTCCGGAAATAAAACGATATTTTGCAAATACATTTGTAACTGCTTTTACCTATACTAGTTTGAAAATACGGCGCGCAACAATTACAAAGATTCATAATTGATAATAGTGTTAATAACTAATAGTATTTTAGAATCCAAAATATTTGGATATTTCAATAAAAAGAAATTGTCATTTTAACAGGTAATTCGTTCAAAAAGTGATATACGATTAGGAAATTCAGGAAACTCAGTTGTCCAGTTTTGGGCACCGAGCAATGGATATAACAACAGAACGCAAAATCACACCTTGCAATCGAGTTCAACTACAAATAATCACTTTGCAGCAGACAGCGCAAGCAATTGCAACGTAATAAGCAATCATTGTTTGCCTCATGGTGGAAACTATGATGTTGGTTGCCATTCAGGAGGATTCGAATCGAGTGGAGGCGGAGGTGGCGGACATAGTTATGGTGGTGGATGCAGTTCTAGTGGCGGGGGAGGATGTGATTCTGGGGGCGGGGGTTGTGATGGAGGAGGGGTTTTTTAAATAATAGGAACTGAGTTTACTGTACAAATATATTTTAAAACTACAATGTAGTTTATGCAATGTAAATATTTACTTATATTTTAACCCTGTTAAAAAATCTGCATTTGTCTCAATGTTTAGTACTGAAACATGTTGCAATTTCTCTCGATATTTTGTTTTATTGCTACATTTATTAACAGCTTTCATTTTGAATAAAATGAGTCGTCTTCAATAACTGATTATTGATGCATTGATTACAATAGTTTGTTATTTAGGCGCATTTTTAAAAACTTGAGCTATATAAAATTTAACAGGGTCAATTTTCATTGCGGGGTAGGTTTTAGCGCATCCGTAAAGGATGGCCTTATCGGTAAGGCATTTTTAACTCTTGCTGATAGGCCCCGCCCTCTTCATACAACGTCAAAAATCTGTCCTAATGGGCAAGTGTTTCCACTTTCGGATAAAAGTTTGTATTATTCAATATCGATTTGCATTTACTTCAAAAATATTATGAAGTATCAATATTGTCGAAAAACAAAAATACAGTTCAAGAAAAGTGGTTACTTTTGTCACAAAATTATAACCTCAAAGTTAATCGACCAAATATATATATACTTTTACACATACTTCAATTTTGTTCAAAAATTAACAACATGAAATTTCAATGTTTAGGCATTAATTAAAGTACACCTGGTCCATATGTTGGGTTTCGGGCGCCAAACTTGTGTTCTCGTTCAACGTATTAGTGATATTGGTGTTGTTACAAAAAAGGGAGGTTGAAATGCTATCGTGAGTTCCGATATAAATTCCAATTCTATCAATATGTTAGACACGGTTGAGTGGTTGATAAAATAAAATTTGTCGATTGAATGTTATAACACGATGCTAATCATGCGCATAAAAATGATTCTATTATTTATTTGTTGTCGATATGTGAGAAAGCGATTTTGCATTCGTAACGCGCTAACGTAATGTAAAGATAACATTGTACGAAGAACTGGAGTTAACCTACTTGCACTATTTGACAAAAATTGTGCTAGACAGACATTTTCACGAATTGGTAATGATTCATCGAAAAACAAATATGATCAATAGTTTATGAGACAGAAAATAGTTTATTGATTTTGTGGAAATGACTAAAAATAATTACTAAATATTACTGCAATAAGTTAACACAGAAAGCATATGTGTTGTATTACAATGCAGGAAGTTTTATTTATCATTTAAATAAAACTATGATGGGAAAATTTTGTATGCATACTTTAGGAAGGTACTATATTGGATATTATCAGTTTGATCAAATCAGTAATTTGTGTCGAATTGGCCACAATTCAAGAGGCAAATATTGGTCAAACGTGTATCATGTTTTTTTAAATTATGCTCTTCTTATATAGAGTTAATACGCTACAAATACATATAAAAAATAGGGTTATGTTTTATGCAGTCAGAACCATCTCAATAACAACGTTATTTCTAGCATTGGAAATTACAGCAAGTAGCAATGTGAGTATATACATTTAATAATTCTTATTTACTAAGTACTGAAAGAAGTATTTACAGTCTCTATTTGTTAATTGTCGGGAAGAGACATATTAAAATTTTGCCTCCGTTGTGAGTTATAACAATGAAATCTTTTTATGTAAGATTATTTCACTGAACTTAAAAAAAATGTATTGCTTGGTCATAAAACTCCAATAATTTCAAGTTGCTTACAATTAGTTTAATGCACTCTTATTCATAATATATTCATTATAATTTACATGCATCTTGGCACTGCTGAGTCATAGTCTGAAATGGTTATGAATTCATTTTTAAAATGCGCTCCTATGCACAGAGGAAAAATCTTGTTTTATTTTATTTTTACAAAATTCTTGGTTAATTAGGTCTTATCTGTGTTATATATTTTTTAGAAAAACAAAGCAGGTGGAGTTTATACCATAAATTCAACGCATTGTGAATATTGCTACAACACTACTTGTAAAATAAGACACGATGCCATATGTGGTAACTACAATCTATCAGATAACAAAGCTATTGGGATAGGCATATCAGTCGGAGTTGTTGGTAAGCATGAAACACAAAATTAAAATCATTTTTAACAAGGAAGTAATTTGAATTGGAATACACAATGGATGTGAGCATACATTAAGTTTGAAATCGCTTCATGTCCACAACCTGCTATGCTCGGATAACGCCAAACTAGACGTGATTTAATTTTGGTTATTATTAGAGTAGAGAATTAATAGATAATCTTTTACTAAAACAGCAAATAACATATAGCATTGGCTTCGTCTTGATTTTTTTTTCCGATTTCCAATTTATTCTTCTGCAACTGATTTCAAATTTTAAAGAAGAGAAAAGGAGTTGGTTGCAATGAAATGTCCAAATATTAATTTCGTGATTATGCTGTTAAGTAAAATAATCTAATATATAAACTTAATAATACCGAATTGTCAAAGTAAAGTATGTTTACTATTCATAATATTCACGAAACAATATAGCAGTACTGTCCCACAGGCTTTAAAAGTCTTCCGCTGCAGTTTACAATCTGATACAACCCAAGATTCAAATTTAATTTTGTGATTGTGTTTTTCGTTTCTACTGATTGTTTTCTAACATATTTAAAAAAATAATTTTTTTTTCCAGAGCGCTATTGACATCATGTGCTTTTATGTTTCAGGTTTTATTCTGGTCGTCTGGCTATGTAATGTGAGTATGGATTTGTTCATAACTTTTAAAGGCATGTAGAAAAGGTTGTCAATCATCTATAGAAGTAAGGCAGTCTGATGGATTGATGGAACATAAAAATATTTTCAGCATTATCCTCCACTCGACTAACTTACAAAATTCAAATTAAAAAAAAAATATTGTTAACTTAAGATACAAAAAATATTAGATAAAATTCGATTAATAAGATATACGTTCTTATATACAGAAGCTACTTTCAAGGAAGAGAAAAAACACACTTCCAAACACCCAAAATTTGTAATTAATTTTGATGGCGAATTCCCTGACGATGGGATAGAATAGGATTTAAAAGACTGTGTGATACCGTTACTACAGAGTGTGATTGGATAGTGCAAGTGCAAACAATGGCAGAATTGACGAAACGACTCGGATGGCAAAGATATGGATAATACTAGTAATAAATATACAAACTTGGTAATCAAGACACAGTGTACACAATGTATCTCCTTTAGTAATATAACCTTTATTTTCAAGTTAAATATGCATTATTGTTCTAAGCTTCGTGATTTTGGTGTCTGTACATATGAATACATTCTATGTCTGAATGTTCAATGCTACAGGAGGCAGATCATGTTTCTGGGCCCAACGTGGCTTAATTGTAAGCATTTGCATAGCCAGCCCTAATTTGTAATTTTATGCAATGACATTGGATTTAAGACACCACTTCTTTAAGCAGAAAAAAACCGCATTTGGTCAATAATCAACTAATTTAAAATCTCGGCTGACTTTTCGTAAATACAAAATCTATTTTCCCAAACAACTTTTTATTTAAAATTTTTTTTTTAACGCAATCTGAATCAGTAAAAGACATCACCACGATTAAAAGTCCATTTTTCGCTTTTCGCCAACTATGCTCGCCACAACCCGATTGATCTTCTTATCAGAGACTATTTCACAGTGACAATGAAGAACACACAAATCACAAATCAGAAATACGATTGGACGTCATTGATGAGCGCAGGCATGCCTCCATCCTTTATTTTAAGGAGAAAGAACGCTCAGCTTCAACATTGTTGCTGGTGGAGTCATAACGATCTGTATTGTTGTCTGCACGCTTTAATAATCTCTAGCGCTCAGAAGGAGCTCGTCCAAAATTTCGTCGTTGATTACGGAGCTCAAAGAAGCTTTCAACAGTCTCTCTCTATACTGGAGGCTACCCAACAAATGATTTGGAAAAATTGTGCGATCCGCGGAGTAGTGATAATTTTGAATAATGTGCGGTCCGCATAACGAGTGCTGAAATTAGTTTGATCTAGTACGTGCAAGTAATTCCAAAGCTCTATATCTGAAAAAGACGACGAATTCTCACTATAACGACACCGCATTTAATATGCTATTCTATCGCATTAGATTTCACATGTACAATGCAATGAAGTTCATTTTGTAAAAATTAACAATACTACACTATATCGTTGTGACATTTTTCTCTCAATCTCTCAACTCTCAATTCAAATTAACTGCATAAAATTTGTATAGTTTGTAATCATTTCATATAGATTTCAGCAAAAATTAATCCAACTGCAGTTGGTAACTTCTGAGAGTTTATTCAAATAAATCGGAAACACGTGATAGTACCCACTATTAAAGTTACAATGTAGTACTTTTATTGAATACTCAAGTATTGAACAAATTTTATTGCTGATTACGTGATTGCAAAAAATTTAACATCCACATTTTTCGGATTTTAAAAAATATGTAACCTATTACACCCCTCTAAACTTGCCAAAACTTTAAAATTGAATATTTCATAAGTCAGTATGAAAATGTGTGTGATTAGTAGCTTACTGATCAAAGCTCACATAAGTATCCATACCAATGTAATCCAAACTAAACAAACACTACAATCAAACTAACAATATATCGACTGAATTTTTGCCAAGGTTCGAACCATACCCCACTAGTATCTAAATACCGTCCCCAAACAAGAATTGTACTTTGACAGGAAAATGTGACACAGTTCATCATATAATCCGTGATCGAATTTGGAGCATTTTTTTTTATAAATATCGAAATAAAGTTTGTTTAGGACCTGATAGAAGTTGCTAACGACAAAGTCATTGTCTCGTCGTGGGTTCGAGTAAAATGTTGCACATACGCACTTTAGTTAAAATATCATCATGGTCCATCTCTCTATCTGACTAGACACTTAATTCAATTTCATCAAAATAAAAATGGAAAGTTAGAAATATAGAATACTTAAAATTAGAAAAAAAAAACATCAAATTAAATATATTAGAAATAACTCCATAGACAAGAAAAAAGTATATAGGCCTACTTTAAATTCATAAAGACCATATCCTCAACAGATGCTTTTGTCTTACAATATAGAAAAATAAACACTGAACCAGATACAATTGATACAAGACAGACAAAGAATAGAACAATAATTGTAATTTCTTTTCCATCCAATCCTTTTTGTTCTGTTTTTCTAAGAAAAACAAAAACAAATAATTATTTTGCATATAAGCGCATTTGACATTTTAGAACGATTTTCTTTTAGCGTAATTGAAAATTGAAACTACTCACAATAACGTGGAATAGAAAACCAGGTAATATTTAAGAACAAGAATATGTAAATACGTAGAGTGAATGTGATCACAAGGCTTACTTTTCAACTTCCTTGCAATTTAAATCTTTTTTCGGAATATACTTCGACGTCTTTATATCTAGGAAAATAGGAACTTGACTTTATTTTATTTTTTTACATAAGAAAGTTAGTGCTAAAAAGGAGAATAGTATAGTATATAAACCATACTAGAAATTGTTTTTCAAGATATATTTCATACCATTTCTTCCATAACGCCCAAGACAATGAGCCCATTGCAGCTGGTAGTAGAAAAAAGTCAACCGGTTGGAAATATTCGGTTAACCATCAATTAAGAACATTTCACATTCTGTGTGGATTAATTTGCTTTCGATTGATTTCCAAATTTTAAATTCGAACGAAAGAAATAACCATTGGGTCCTTTTTTCTCAACCACTGAGTCTTTACATTTGTTATCAACTTGCAAAACAACAATAAATAAAAATAACTGCAAAATTCTATTACCCTTGACAGAATCAACAGTCAGCATCATTCCTAAATCTTCGTGTTTTAATACATGACAATGCATCACTACTGGGCCATCGTACTCATGTACATTGAATCGAACCTAAAAAAAAGTTTTTCTCCAGTAGGATATACATGTAACTAATTTTCGAAACATAGCACTGTGCCCTGGATATACCGTTATGTTAGAATAAGGTGGTACATTGATTACATCTCTCCAATCTCCTCTTTTCGCGTAGCCCACTGATTTCCCGTTTTCCGCGCCTTGTTCTAGCGCCTCCCAGCGTTTCCTGTGATTTATGAACTTTTTGTCCGGATGATCAGGCCAAATAAAGTTTGGATCTTAAGATAAGAAAATATGATATTGTATGTATCAGGTCTGCCTAAAATTTATTATTGGCCAATTTAAAAATAAATCTTTAACTCTTTTAAGTTTGTCTTGCCTGGAATCTTTTTAACGTTATATATATATATATAATAATGCATCATATGTACGGAGCGTTAAAATTATAGTTCAATATTCAAGCCGTATTTGAACATCAGTGAATTACCTAAATCACTTAGTAACTCAAATATTGCTTTTCTGCAGACAAGGGATTTAAAAATGATTAAATTTGAGTTCGTTTGCAATTTGGAAATTTTTGTGTAGTAAAACTAATACAAATTTTAAGCAATCTGACGAGATTGTATTTGTCCTGTAATATTTGTCGGTAGTTATTTAATCCAGCCTGTGGACTGTAAGATAAAAAGAGTTTTTTTCTGAAGCCAACCTTCGTATTGAAGTGAAGGGATAGCGTACGTATCGTTGCAGAGGTCACCCTTTTGAGATCGTAGTACAAATGTTGGATATTCCGAGAAATAATGCTGTGATCTACCGCTCAGAGGGCCTGTATAATCGTTGTAACTAATAACCTGAAATAAATCAAAGTTCATTTGGTTTATTGGTGAGGTCACATAATCAATATGACTTATATAAATTAGTGTTCAGTGTTTACCAAAGTAAACTATATAGCTAGCCCTTTATATCCGCACCAATGCAACCATCAGTATATATTCTATTTAAAAAAGGCTGTTAATATAAAAATAGTTGCAGCTAGGAATACGTTCTTCTGTTTAACTGATAAATTTTACATCAACATATATTTATTAGTAAAGATTTTTTTGCTGTGAAATTTTTCCATCACGCGGAAAACCTTTTTGCAATTTTTATTTAGTGTGCCTGACGTACTTTTTACCTATTTAAAGTAGTAATATGACGCGTATTTTTATTTGATATTGTAGCCTCCATTAAAATTCGAAAGTTTCATATACTACTGCTTTACCTGAAAGTGATTAACATGAATGTGCAATGGGTGTGGCGCTCTTTGAGCAGAGTTAACAAATGTCCATTCCTGCACGCTTCCGACTTCCATTCTGTGTCTGGGATAAATACAAAAAAGCTAGGCAAAACAAAGATTCTAAATTGTAAAAAACATTTAAACGGCCATTTGAATTTCCCATGAAAAACGCAAAACCTTTAGTTTGCGTGCAGGGCTATGTTACTTACCTGTAATCTTCTTTTTTGACAAATTTTTGACGATTCATGAAAAAGTCGTCCGAAAGTTCGACAATGAATTTGTTTTCTTCTGGTACGTTATTAATATTCCGCAAGTCACTGATGAACTCTTGTCTGGTGGGCAGAGCAGTTGAAAAACTCGGAACTGACAATGTGCTTTCAATATTATTAATGGTCAAGAATGTACCGTTGTATCTACGAAATGTTCCAATTGACCATTCACCATCGGGCAGCGACATTGAACGAAGCTAATAAAAATAATAAATAAAAATCCATTAACAATATATTACAAAATTCATAATATGGAATAAATTATAACAGACTAATATGATATTCTATTGCATTTTATATTACACGTACAATGTAATGAATTTCACTTTGAACAAATTAACAAACTTTTTCTTGATTTAGCAATTTAAATCAATACCGTACTATAGCGTTGTCATATAATTCTCAATTTTTCAATAAAAAATTACTGCACAATATTTGTATAGTTCCAAATTATTTTATATAGTTTTCATCAAAAATCAATCCAACAGTCGTTGGTAACTTATAAGAATGTATTTTAATAAAGATACAAGCGATAGTATCTAATAACCTTGTAATTGTATATTAATTACTCATCTATTGAACAGATAATCATTTTATTGCAGATCACGTGATTACAAGGAATTAAACAGCCATATTTTTTCTCATTTTAAAATATGGAATTACTTGATATATTCCTGGCGTATCGCAATAAATCATCCAGTCAACTCGCGCAGCAATTGCAACATAAGTTTGTTGATATATTTGCTTTCTAGGAGCATCGAGATAAACACCATCAAATGCAATTTCTCTGATTACGCATTGTCCAGTACCTCCATTATTTGCTATTTCTAACTCGAGTCCAACATATCCTCCCGCATTAACAATTCTAAAGTTTATTTGAAGTTTTCATATCTCATATCAACACTTGAGCAAGCAATGTGATAAACAGGCCAATATACGCCTGGAATCTCCGCTGATACGTGAAGACAGCATCAGTCTAGGCCGGGATTTACCAAACCTTCTGTTCATCCGTACTCCTTGGACAATTTATATTCTTTCGTTTAGGCCTACCCCATAACCATTTTCATATTTTCAACAGCTTAACTTAATCTGATGCACATTTCATATTTTATAGTCAGGAAATATATGTTACATCCACCCGAACCTTGCTAAAAACTTTAAAAAAATTTTTTTTATTATAGTTTAGTATAAAAATCTGTGTGATTAGTACTGATCAAAGCGCGCATAGTTATTCATACAAATAAAGCTTAATTCAGGATAAACTAACACTACAATCAAACTAACAATATATAGACTATATGGGCCCAGCAGCCTAGCTAGTGTGGTGAATAAACCTGCTTTTTAGCAACGAGTAGTTCATTAATATGAGGCGAAACATTCAGGTCTTCAAATTAATAAGATCAGGTAATAACAAATATTTTAATGTAGTCGAAGCGAAAGTTGCGGTAAGAATATCCTTATGCTTGATGTAATGTACCCCTGGTGGTACATGTACCCCAGTTTTGGAACCCCTTGTCTCGGCTGTCGCGCGCATCCTTACGTTCGTGTTGTTTTCGGGCTAATATTTAAAACATGTTCACTAAAATATCCAAAGTTTACGAGAGATATAGAACGGCTTGATGAAAAAGCAATATCTTCCACGGGGAACGGTGAGTGGGTAGGACAGGTCAATCTTGAAGTTTTAATCTCCGACTTAGTTTACGAGAATAAGGCGACAAATTGTCAGATTATAAATTTTTCACCAATCGGAGCGTATTTTTCTGCTGCCATGGTCACGAAATATCATTCCGGACTTTTGAAAAACGCACTTTACTAGGGTGAAAGGATAACTTACGTGAGCAATTTCTTCTAGGTTGTTGCAGTCGTTTAGCCGTTACAGTAAAACACACAGATAAACAGTTACACAGGCATGCAGAACGATTTTGATTAGGGATCCAATATATATATAAAAAAAACTGTTCACCGAAATCTTTTCATCTGATTTTTCTGAATCGTTAACATAGGATTGTACAGACCATTTGTTGTGAAATAATCAAATCCGTTTTCAACATTCATAAGCCAATCTTCAGTGGATTTGTTCAACCTGGCAATTAATTAGGAAAGAAAAGGGATAAAATGGACAGAATAGAATAAAAATATAAGAAAGTTACATAAATGGCATCACAAAAAGTGTTAAAAGGGAGAAAAAAATACTATAGAAAGTTTAGACTAAAGGAACGTTTATTTAGAGAATGTGGCGCCCGGTCAGTATAGAAAAATAAAACAGTAATCAAAAAAGACGAGAAAAACGTAGTTACCTAAAAGGATCTCCAATCTGTTCTTGGGCTTCATGTATAAAGTCTACCGAATCATTGGTGTATTGCAACGTTGATTGAAGCAGTATATCAACGTCATGTTCACAATGATTCGGGCATGAAACGGCATCTAGTTCCACATCCATATTGGTCGATTCATCATCAACAATCAACATTCCAGATAAACCACTCATAACCTACAATGATATTTACATGTGTTTATACATCAAATCAAGTTGAAACTATTTTATATGACACCTAGTAATTTTCCCAAAGAAATACTTGTAAAAAGTTTTAAATCAGTCTTTTTGATACGTCTGGCAATTCCAAATTAGTATACCATGAGTAAGGTTTGGGGGTTTGATGCCGAGAATATATCCTGCCGTGCGTTACGTTAAATGCTTTAACCGGGAATGTTAAACCTGCGGCAGCGGGTCAAATGCGACCCGCAGGGAAAATTGTGCGGCGCACAAAATGAGTTGTTAATTTAATATAATCTGGTATGTGCGATTATTTTCAATCTCTTTGCGTTGCAAAGTCTATACCGGAGTACAATTCCTTTTTAGTGCGTGCAACTACTCGAGATCTTTTTTCAAATAAAGGTGCGGCCCGCAAGTTCATACAGTTATTTGTATCTGACCCTCTTGTATTAAAGGTTGCACGTCCTTGCCTTAAACCATTAGTACCCAACCGATTTCGATTTACTTTTTTCCTTCGCTTATTTCGGATACCAATATTCTTCCCACTATTTATGTTAAAACTCTGCTCCGTTGATTATTCACTTTTTAAAGTTTATTAGCTGTTGTTATGCACAATTTACACCCTGGATTTTGCACGGTTTAAGTAGTTTATTATGTGTACATGAATAAGTAATTGGGTTATAATAAAATACCCCAAAATATCAGCAATGCTAAAGCAAATACATAGCAACATTCCTCCACAGTATGGAAACGATGATTAAAACATTATGCTGTCGCACCCGTAAAATTCGACCCAAAAAATATAAATTTTTTTTTCGCAACACTAGCTCAATTTTCTTTACTCAAATCTCAAAATTGGAAGCAAATTGGGAACAAAATACTATGTGACTGCTACTCTTATGCAGTGCATTATCAAATTCAATGTATTGTTATTTTTTTGATGTATATATATATGTTTACTAAATAGAGGGAAGTCATTACAAACCTGAAAAAAGGTAGATCCGTGCCAATGAGCATGATACCAATACGTGCCAGCTGGTTGGTTTACGTTTACATTAACTGAATAATTGTGAGATTTTCCAGGATCTACTCTTGTGAAGACGTCGTCACCTGGAGGCTAAATAGAAATGAGAGAAAACGTTTGCTGACTATATTGGAATAATACTCTCAATCTTTATATTAAACATTAATTTCGAATGAAAGCATCCACGCATTGGACACATATTTCACCAGAGAAGATATGTGCAGTCCATGTGTATGTATATTTGTAGTGTTAGGGTGTCTTATCTCATTCAGCTCTTTTTCCGGTTGATCTGGTCCGAGGCGGTTTTCCTGAAAATGATATTATTAAATTTGTATAAAAAGTCAGCTCATACTTCTCAATAGTTGCATATCTCGAATTCATTTTAAACTACACAATTATTCATTTGAAATATGATTTCAATTAACAATTTTATTGCTTTCAATACAAACTCACTCCTATTTATCTTATAAAATGAGAATAATAAAAACACTGTTTTACCAAATGAACATAAACGGTGTCTCCAGGTTTCATTCGTATTGTTGGTCCGCAAAGATTTCCATTATAAACTCGGCGTTTGATTTTCAGCCATTCAATTTCGATATCGGCAACATCAACTACTAAATTGACGTATACGTTGTTCCCATCACGTCTATACACTGATGAATTACTCGATCTACAATCTCTGAAACTCTCTCCTCCTAAAACAATAACATATATAAAAAGTACCTCATTGAAATTGTGTAGGTTAAGCCTGAGAAAAGTTGTGCAAAATTAGATACTAAGAATACACCAAGTCTGTGCTCTGGTCGGAAGAATTTCAAAATGTATCCCACATCCCGTATAAAAATGTAAAAAAATTAGTAAAAAAGCTTTTTTCTGTATCATACAAAGGCTATTTTCGTAGCTTGAAACGCTTTTTCGACCGCCAAGTCTTTTAACGATCCACATTTTCCGAACCCGCGACCTGTTTTGGTCTTACTTGGCGATTAGAAATTTCAGAATACCCCGTTTTAAAAATCAATCATAAAAATGCGTGAACTTATAGCCATAATGGAAATCATAACCAACACTATTAAAGTCAAACATGTTTATCATCAGGTAGTTTACCTAATTATAACGGATTGACATACAAAGTAATACCCACATAATTTTTAAAGGAAGGTCAACATCTAGGACACCTTATACCATAGCTTACCCTGTAATGGTTGACATTCATAGCACCTTTCACAGTCCGTATAAGTCAAAAATACAACGATTAGACCACATATTCTTAAAAAGATGAGTATTCGATTTTTCATTTTATTCGGTGTACAAACTATTCCAAACGATGTCTCAATATTCTGGCAAAAGATCGTACTTTTATACGCAAATTACAGTATTATTTATAAAGAAAAACAGATAGAAACGTTATTATTCTATTGATCCATCTATTTCTCTAAAGCACCTTTGTGGGAAAGCACAGGTGGCTGATATATGATTTGTAAAATAATTAAATAAATACAGTTACATTTAATCAACATGGATGAAATGTTGACAAACATGCCTTCCATGCGCTCCAATTTTTAGGTTTAACTTTGATCTACCGCCAGTTGAAGTGTCCCATTGTACCATGAAATATCTGTACATTGTAAATGGTTGCGTAAAAATCTGGAATCTTGTCAAGTTTATCAAATATTGATTTTAATCGCAATAAAAGTACGATCGCAATGAAGTTCTGTGAATAAAAACTTTGAAAAATTATTCCAGGTTGATTTGATATATTTTTAGGGAACGCAATTCAATTAATAATTAAATTTAATCTGACTGAATTTCAATATGGGTGATTTCAACAAACGGTATTCTTTTATCACGTCATATCAATCCAAATATATTTTGGTTTACTTTAGAGCAGGGCTGGGCAATTATTTTTGCTCGAGGGCCACATTGCAAATCAAAATGCAGTGGCGGGCCGGACTAATTTGAGTCAACCCACATTGCGTTTTTTATTGTATTTTATTACACAATTGAATGAAACAAAATCTAATACAATTGTTATTTTTAATGAGACGTGTGTATGCTCTGCTGCGCCTTAACAAGTACTTGAATGTCGGGTTCAATGGCAGACGTAGATATTCTCAGCAAATCAGAAAGATGTTCATCGGTGAGAGACGACCGAAATTTCGATTTGGTAAAATTCGACTAGCCTAACTGTATCCTTCTTAATTGGGACACGAATCAAAACGCGACTCATCGAAATTACGCGCGCAAAATTCACGCTTCGATTACTCTGCTGTTCAGTAATCACGTGCAAAAACAAGCGCTGATCGTTGCGACAAAGATGACTACAGATAGCAGTTGGTACTATGCCATGGTCTAATCTAAAATACACAAAGCTACCAAAACGCTTATTTCTATTACATTAATGAAATTTGCCCTCAAAGTATATTTTATATGTAAATAAAAAATGTAAGTGTCTTAATTTAGAAATCTGCTCGCGGGCCGGATGAAACGTTGCCGCGGGCCGGATGCGGCCCGCGGGCCGGAGCTTGCCCAGGCCTGCTTTAGAGGGAGAAAGCCTGTACGTCCACAATATTATTTATACTGACAATACAGTTTGTTGTTTTCAATCGATCGGTCGATAAATTTACGATCGAGTATTAAAAAATACTTGAGGGTGAGAATTTGCCAACAGATGATCTTTTTATTTTGAGGTTTGAACCATATGCATTGTTGGAGCTTCCGATTTCAACCAAAATGAGAACTCTTGTTTGGTAAAATTACAATACAGGTTATTAATAAAAGAAAACTTTACCAATATTTATTTACAGTTTATAAACTGTAAAAATGTTTTCGCTGAATAAAATTGTGTTTGTATACTTGATTTAAACGCTATTGTACCGTAACTGAAACCTGTGATTATTGCTCGACTGCAATTTTAAACCAAATTTAAAAATTGAAAGGAAGAATGAAATATCCCGCTTATCGGCAAGATTGCCTTCAGCATTGAAATACTCAGTTGCACTGAACTGTATTAATATGTTTATCAAGTATAAGTAAGTTAAATACGTTCACCAACCATGGGTAAATGGAACGTTATAATTTCATACTTGCTACATCTTTTACGCAAACACAACGCTGACCGCATTACAACGAGAAAACTTCGCGATGGCTGTATACCAACATTCGAGGTCTTTCGCTATGTCAAAGAATACACTAAACAATTTGGGCCAAATCAAGTTCAAGATTTAATAACGAAGTACTCCACGCCACTAAAACTCTTTGCTGAAATAACGCGTATGTCCGAATTGTCAAAACAAATCTCTTTGAAAATAATTTATTTTTATGGGAGACAAATTTATTTTATTTGTAAAGTAATGTCTAGTGTTTCAGAGATATGAAAATCGTTTTGTATAGTTTAAAGTAATATCGTAATACTTACATATTATTCATTAGGCCACTGTTGATGTCCACCTACACTATATATACGAGCTTGAGTTGAACAAAAAAAAACCTTTCCATATATTACTGTTATTAATAATAAAACCACAGCCTGGAAGTCACTTACTTGAATTATTTATTATCAGTTGTATAGCTGGCGCTACCAAAGAGTCGTTAGAAAAGTTTTTTGATATTTACACAGAATATCATTCAAAGATAATAATTTTTCACATTTGATTTATCCTTACTGTGCCAAGACTACTATTAAACTGTCTCAAAGATTAGAAGTATTTTTTCGGTTGACGCTCCGATTTCAGGGTTTCTACTTGCTCAATTATGAGATCTGTATATAACACTGTTGAAAGTACTATATTTTGTAAATGTATAAGTATTTGTTATTGGAAACGTCACGAGGAAACGTACTACTGGTTCTGATTTATATTGTGTTCTCTCATTTATCTCAAGATAATAAATGTTTTTTTTGTAATTAAATATTAAATTCTTGGCATCCCTTGATAATACTCTATTTCGACCGTTTTCCGTTTGGCAATTTGCATATGCGATTCTTTAATTGAGAGATATATGAAATAAGTTGTGCTTAGGATACGTATTTATCCAATACAGCCAAAAAATTGTGAGAGAAAATCTGGCAAATGGTGATGTTGGTTATTATACCAGTTGATTTCACATCACTTACAATTCAGAAACAATTTTGTGAAACATTCGTGAATCACGGGTTGCAATCAACTGCTTGACTATTCCAATAACTCTATCAACAAAAAGGTACACGCATTCTTCAATACGACATCAAACATATAGATTAATTTACATCAGATTGTTGAACACATGAACGGAGGAACGTCTTCGTAAATTGATAAATTAGAATTATATATATGTCAAATAAAAAGATTGTTTTGATGATGGCTGAAGGAACATACAACTTTTGCGAGTTTCTGAAATTAACAATGTTCTATGGACAAGCGTAATTTGCACAATTCACTTCATTCCAAGACAATGACTCAATTGATCAATTCTAAATGAAGATATCGGAATAAAATAATAATTTGATTAAGAGATCTCTCGCTTACGTGAGTATCAGTAATTCTGTTCATGAATCATCAGTATTCCACTTTAGTTTCGCAATTAGGCAAACTAGTACTAAGCTAATTATTTTGCTCGTTATTGCTTTAATATGAGTTGTTATACACAAACAGATCCACAACTTTGGAACTTATTTCGTTTAGGTTTGCTGGGCCATTGCTTTTTAATATACCTGTGAAAAAACCATGGAATAAGTCAAAATTTCAAAAATTCAGAATTTCTCGTTCCCCTGGTATCGATGCATCCACTCTGTGTTATTTGTCTGCAAAGTTTTTTTTTATAAAGAAGAGTATTGTACGCGTTAATTATTTTGCCAGCATACGCATATATAACAAAGATTAGAAAGAAAATTTACTTGAAAAGTAAACACGAATTCAGGTTAACGTGTGCAAAGATACTGACGTCTTGCACGAACCTAGGGGACGCACGAACGTTTGATAATAGTTGGGATAAAATCAGGGACAACAAACTCTGCATCGAGATATTATTATTGCCTGCAATTCGTCTCTGAGTGCCCAGATTGTTGTCATCGATTCTTTGTTATTTGTAGACATTCTACTATTTTTTGTGATCGTGTATCTGTAGCCACGTAAACACCGTGCAATGTACGATAGACAAACAAGAAATAAAACGAGCAAAACAACTCCCAATAAATTTAAACTACTAATTATCTTTTGTGATACAACATTTTAAAAGTGACTACATTTATTGCCAGACTATTGCTAGCAAAAACGAAACCATATGCTGCCCAAAATGCAATAGTCTAATGACTAATACCACTCATTTCGTGATTAATCTCAAGCTATGAAATCGAATCTGATAATTGGTTGCCTTTAATGTTTATTTTCACAGACACTGAATATTATTCGAGTATTTTAAGATTCTCATGATATAGAAATTAAGTCCAGGACAGTGTTCTAAAGCGTAATACGATTTTGTGTTCTTGGCCTCAAGTGTGAATACATCCAAACTTAATTGTTAAGTATTCTGAACAGGAATCTTTCTGAAAATATATAAATATTTACAAGCAATCGAAGAAAATTGAAGTCACTCAATGTTTTTGTAATTTAGTATTTCACTCTCAATAAAAATTTGGATGCATTCCGAATTTGTTCCTGAAAAAGTGAGTGCGACACGACTCAAGGTTAAACATACGTGTTGCTTGGTAAAGAATATCAATTTAAATAGGCTTTTTGATTACTCATTCTCGACAAGCTCAGACTGAATTGATTCTCATCCGCCGTTCCATGAGTATTAATATCACGCATATCCGGAATCTTAAGTTCCATAACAACGAGGAAGTATGCAGTCATGTTGACAGCATGTTAGGATTTTCGAAGAATGAAAGAGATAGCAAAAAATAATTGAGAGTTTCTGTTTATATGGTTTCATGTGACAGAAAGAACCAAAACAAAGATTAGAGATTTTTCATGAAGCGATATATTAAGTTAATTATAGAATTGAATCGCGTTCAAAATTGAATCGCTTAACAGTATTTTGAAGCGGATAAAAATGACAAGATGAAAAATATGTTGTTTCTGACACCTGTTATCGAAGCGCAATTCAGAATGATAAATGTGGGTTATAAGATGTATTGTTGTCAATTGTGAAATATTTTACTTCACGATTATTTCGAGATAAACATAAGTTAATATACACTATTGGGCGCTTCAGAAGTATGTGTATATGGAGGTAACAAGTTTTGATCGCCTATTTTTTTACATCAAGTTGTGTAAAGGAACTGAAACCTATATGCAGGGCGATGGTCACTTGGCTAACACAGACAGTCCCGGACTCATAATAGAACTAAAATTAGGAAAATTGGAATAAAATTATGACTTATTCCTAACCTGGTACACATAAATCGTAAATGTTTTTTAGTCATAAGTTAGATGAAATGGTTAGCATAGCAACACTGTGTGCTGAGAAAACAAACTTGCTAACAAGCTCGTAACAATATTCTTGGTTTATTTGATAAATACATTAAAGCATTCATAGAAATAAAAAATATTAATTTGTCGATATCAAAAACAAAATAAATATTGGTGAAATATTTTAAATATAAATTATTTACTTAACTAAAATATCACGTTACCAAAATTCAAATCATAAATGTTTTTATAATACTGTGTATATGCTCATCACTGATTCACAAATTAATTTAATAAAATTTGTTATATTTTACAGCAAATATAATCTGATTTTATCAACCAGCTTTTACTGGTTCTGATTTTGAATATGCTTCTTAAAATTACATTGATATTTTCAGTCATCTACAATTCAAATTCCATCTCAGGTAGGGTTGGTATATATTTATCTGATGATGCATTTACATGTAAAATACTTAAGTTTATTTTAAAAATAATTGTAGCAATATGTCACGGATAGTAATCTTCTTGTCATAGTTATTGGACAAGAAATGAACCATGGATCGTTTAATAAAATGCTGTACTTTGACGTGTTCTTTGTGTTGTTGTTGACAAATCTTTTTCGTTATTAATCACTCAACCATTCGTCTCTCATTAATTGATAATAAAGATTTTTTAGGGTAATGTTTAACATCTTGAAGAAGGTTATTCCTTGACTCATTTGGCAAATTGTAGAGATTATTTTGACCAGCTTCTGCAACATAAAATAAAAAACTATGTTGACGGCAGCGTTACTGCTTCTTTTTTTTGTAAAGTTTTCCTTTCGTCTATTATTCAGTAGAGCGTCAATTCTATATCACAAAAATACTTCACATCAATTTTAAATATACATTTAAACAGGAAAGACTAAAAATGTCGGCAGATATACCTTGGAATTATTCGAATCCGAGGGTTCCTTCTCTTTTGCAAAGAGTGATTGCAAAAATAGAAATGCATGGCTCGTGGAAATCAAAAATGAAAATATCAATAACGCTGTAAGAGAATTAGCAGGGTGAGCTCGAGTTAAAATTCCCATTTGTTTCCCAATTCCCATTAAAACATGGTAAAATTTGTGCACGATTTTTCCATGATTTAGGAAGAACACTTTTCTTAATAAAAACGAAACTAATTCAATTTTTTGTCAATACTTTAATTTAGAATACCGTTTGTAAAGATTTCAGTATTTATTTTGTAGAAACAATGAGCAAATACAAAATGTTTGCCTAACTGATATACACAAACAGTCAAAATAATTGTGAATTAACCGTATACACACAGTGTGTAAACATACCAAGTCTTACACTTTATGTTTATGATGTTATACCACGTTGAATAAATTTATCTATGTAAAAATGTACCATTGTGGAGTTTATGTGTAATAATTTATTCTGACGTCCTTCCTTGAAATATTTCTTTAAACAATCAAGAAATAAACATATAAATAATTAAATAAACAATATATATATATATATATATATATATATACATGCAAGTTCAAAAAATCGAAGTTTGAAGTTGCTTAAAGTTTGTTCTCATAAACTCTTCATTATTTATTTAGAATATATCTGAAATTTATCACTTACATTCTTGTTTTCATAGATCGTCTTCATGCTGGATTGGATTGTCATATGAGAATGGTCATTTAAGATGGAATGATGGAGAACCTGTACAATATGAAATCTGGTTTGCATTTGTTCATATTAATATATACATTCATGTTCTTTTGTTATGGCTACGTGAAATCCAGGTCTCGTGATGCGTTTTTGTTTTATCGTTACTATATCCAGTACATCTTTTGATGAATTGCAATTTTTCAGTACGTCTCCAGTTGGACTGGAAGCCATTTTGGCCGTCTGTTAATTAATGAAAGTAAAGTAAGCTTTTTTTTGTTTTAGGTCAAGTATTGAAGATCGTACAAGCCAATGTTTCTCTAGTCGAAATGCAAAATTGAGTGGATCATCTAGTTGTATAACAAAAAGAAAATACGTTTGTCAAAGCGGTAATTACTACAATTCCATTTAGAGAATAAATTTGTATTCAAATCATCTCTTTTTTCCAAATGTTTTTTTTACTCATTCTATTTAATTGAACAAGAGCAAGACAAAAAAAGCATTATGTTCGTGTCATATATAAATGGTACCCGGGAACAATTTTGTTGTTCCCTCACAATATATATAATAACCAGCACGTAGATTCAGTCTCTAATTTAAAACAAAGACGTTGCTTCAACATAAAACGATTACTATTTTATAGATTCTGTTTCAACCGTCCAATATAATTTTCATTACGAAGATAGCTCTAAGCGCACGTATGAAGAAGCAAAAATTGAATGCAAGAATTTGGATGCTACAGCGCACCTAGCCTATATAAAGACCGATGATATTGCAACGACGATTAGAAATAGTCTCGAGTATGATTTCAACATTCGAAACAATATTGTTTTATTTGTATAAAACTTAACTCCGAGCAGTGGCAAATGAAAAACAAAATTGGATTGCCACAGAAAGCAACATTGTTACAAATTGAATAATAAATAGTATGTCAAGTTCTGACAACACAGTGGATTTATTATAAGTACATATATATCAAGAAATAATCAATCCTCATTACTGGCCTATATAAGTATAACAATATTTAAAAAAAAACTGCTCTGCAGTATAGTGCTAATTCCTGTCTTGACGGTGCAAATTATTGTAGAGACTATTTGTAATAAAAACATATTCGAGAAAAAATCTATATATAAATTTTATCGCACATGATACCAACCATGCAACAATGTTTTGCTCAGAGGTTGGTCTTACCTAGAACTATGTGGCATTATAATCTTACTACTCTACCATATCATATTCAAAATCATTATTAAAAACAAAATGTATCAATCATTTTTTGAATTGCTATATTTTGTTGTTGTTGCAGAAAATAATACCAAATTGATTTTGAATTTTTAATACTCATATATATTTAATAGATTTCTTAAAGACTATCACTTTTATTTATTATTTTTCTTTCAAGTTTACTTCGAGTTCTAGGGATCCGATATTTCCCACAGCATTGCTGTTTTATTTTGATTCACGAAAACACACATAATTTAGTCACTCTTGTTAACCGATCTTGTAAGCAAACAAACTTGGTACTTAGCTGAGCCCTTATCGATACACATGTGATCTACATGTCGATATATTTAAGTATTTCTCTCTTTTACTTATAAATGTAGTATTTACATATTTAAAATTCTCACTTACATAAGATTGTTTATGATTTATAGAAGTAAAAGTGGAAAATTCTTCGTCGGTGGAAGTGACCAAGAAAATGAAGGTGTTTGGAAATGGGATGATGGTACTGTGATAAAAGATAGGGGAAAAGGAAATTGGTCAGTTTTATCTTCACCCGTTCTAAACTGGCTTCCAGCCTATCTTAGACTATAGACTTATAGATGGTATAAAACATCTTAATATATTATTATATCAAATCTCTTCAAACGTAAACGATTTTATAATTAAATACGTGATTGGCCGTCATATTTTCATATTTCTTGTTTGGACATCAACTATTTGAAAACTCGCATACTACAAGTTGAAATGTACCGTTTAAAATAAAAAGTTACAATGCAGAAAATACTGAATCTCGTTATATTTAAAACGCAGTAACAAATTTTTATCAAGTAAAAAATTATTTTGATAAAAATAAAATCAAATATGGCAAAACTTGAACGCTCATCTCTCCTCTCAACCATAGTCTGTTTATATTTTATACAACTTTTTACCTAACTCCAGGAAGACATATTGGGGGAGTAGCGAACCAAATGGAAAAACAGGGGAAAATTGCGTTACTATAGATACTGCCGGAAATTGGTTTGATGTTCCATGTGGAAATGATCATTACTACATTTGCCAAACAGGTAAAATAAATATTTCGGATTCAAAAAAGAAAACCTAAAACTTATTTTCATGCAAACTTTTCCAAACTCTTGCTCAACTCTTATAATATAATGAAAGCCTTGGATAATTTCAAAATTTATATTATGTATATAAATATGATATTTTTTAGATCAACGCCTCAAAATATCCATAATTAGAGTTTTGTATTCTAGCTTGCACAAGAAAACTGTCCAAGTTAACAAAAAAAGTCGAAATCAAGTACTTGAATGCTTAGGATCTTTGTCAGGTGCATGTTTGAACCACGCAATTCTAGAAGGATTTCGTTTGAAAGTTCATTTTTATCAACATCAGTTATTACGTAACAATTCGTGGCTAAGAAAATATTGACAGTAGATTATATGTCTACTGGATCTTTTATTTATCGACAGGAAAAAAGATTTGTAGATTTTGTTCGTCCGTATACGTTATTGTTGCTTGTATATAATATTGAGACATCAATATAAATTTTGGAACTTTAAGAGAACTGTTTTAGTTATCGATATAAATCAACTGTCACAAAGACCACTAAGTTATTCAAAATGAGTTATTTCTGTTTGTAGAAATAGTTGAATGCCCCAATGACAACAATTTCTGTTCTGATGGAGGGACATGCTCCGTCACAAACGCGGGTGTTGAATGCTTTTGCCCAGCCGGCAAAATTGGCAGAAGATGCGAAAATGGTAAGAATTTATCAAATAATTTAGGCTGGTGAAACTTCCCTCTATATATATATATATATATATAGTTTATCCAATGACCAAACTTCAGTTAATGTTGAATTAAAATTTGAAACCTATTGTTGAACACATAATATAGCAATAGAGCTACATTTCATCGGTTTTCAAATAGTTTCGAAAAAAACTAATGGTAGATATTTACTTTCTAATTACATGACACAAAAACAATACATACCTTAAAAATGATAGAAAAATAAATTCGATGACACTGAAAAGATTTACCAAGCATGACAAGTTTTTTTTTTTTTTTTAGTTGACGCGTTTCAATGAAGTCGATTTTTGTTATTAATAAGTCGGATATCAATGGCGAGCGCCACATCCATTGCAATGTATTCCTCCAATAATGAAGAAATGTTATCCCTATTGTCTAGAATGAAATATTTTCTAAGTAATAATAAGATATTGCGATTATCCTTTTTTTAGATCTTTGTATACCGGACCCGTGCAAAGGGAATGGCATTTGTAATGATCAAACATCATTTCCCTTTTACGAATGTAACTGCTACCCTCCGTACGAAGGACAGTTCTGCCAAGGTAGTGTTCCATTTCTATAAATACATCTACAGAAGTATGAAAAAAAAAATTTCATAATTTTCTAATTTATTTGGCATATGATGTTTCTGGTTCAAAGCCGGATAATGGCCATTAGTCATAATCTTTGTTCTGATAATGTAATTTTTGTTTTAATGTATTTTTATTTAGTATTCATTTGATTTATGTTATTAAATATTGATTCCAATTTTGTTATTCTTCCTCCGGTTATGTTTAATTTTGCCCTAAATGAAGATAAAATACAATTTAATTTTAATTACTAACTTAATTAAGTTGGCCGATATCCTTTGTCAGGATTTTTAAATCTCGCCCATTTCCGTCTTATGTAGCCTACATAATTCTATCAGAATGGAGTCAATGACGTTGATTCTAGGCCAGTGAATCTCAATAAGAATGAACCAGCAGCTATATCTGTAAAAAAATCTCAAAGAATCCACAACCTTTACATGCATAAAATTTAAAATTGTCCAGCTTGCATGAGATAACGGTACTCCTGAAGTATCTGAACCAAGATGGCGGGCACCTGAACGTAGCATGTTTGTGTACCAGGTTAGGGTTATATTCACATACTACAGGAGTACCGAGATAACAAATGAAACGCAAGCCCACAGATAACAAATCTTCTCATATGAGCATATAATCACCTTCGAATGTTACACAAGTTGAAACTCTGTTGAAGGTATTGTAGCCTTGTCCTTTCACTTGTGGCTGGGAAAAAATTGTGAACCATTGCTCTTTTAACTGATCTTTATAGCAGTCCATGCCTTAAACTTGTAGCAAATACCGGCTTGTTGTCTTACTGTTGTTGGCTAGTTCTGTTGTCGTTGGCTGAACTGTTGTTGTATTTTCTGATGACAAGCTGTAATGATATATATTATATACATTTCCGAATACAAAGTAAACATTTCAAAGCAGGCTGATAGCCTGACAGAATCCAAGTAACACTTGACACGAGTCGCCAAGTCGTAGTAATTAGTCGTTTGTTGATGTTTTTTACCGAATCAGTGGGCATTTCATAGAATTGTTTTGGTGTTCCAAGTGCATGACGCTGTAATGCCCCTGTAGACTACAAGTCGTCTAATTGTCGTATCATGACTTATTTTTAATTCCAATTTTAATGTTCGTATTACATTAGAAACAATTTCAACAAATTGAAATACATCCAATCGGTAATTAAAGGCAGTTAAATTCACCCAATATGCTATATCACGCCCTTACTGTTAGTGCCGAGCACTGGTCAAGCTTGTAGCTTGTGCGTGCAATGAAAAAATACACAAATTGAAAAAAAATTCATGAAAGCATAATGAAGAGATAAAATTATGATTGAGGGACAAAATGTGTGTGTGTATGTTAAACTTTATTAGGAAAGAAAAAGATTTGGCGTTGGATAATTTTAAATTTAGCTTGTAAATTACTGAAAATGCTTTGCTCTAATCATCTAATGCAGGGGTGTGCAACCTTTTTTAAAGGCAGGATAAGGTAACTGGGCAACTGGGATAAAGAGATTTTTTAATTGCGAATGGGTTTCCGTAATTTGAACGAAATTAATTTTCCCAAGCCCCTTCGTAAGTAGAAAGTTTTGTAATTACGGACGTTCTTTACCTGAAATGCATTAATCCGTTCCAAGACCTCACAAAACTCGAACATAATATTTGACTGGGTTAAGCGAAGACCGTGGAGAATGAGAGAATGGCGGCCGGCGGAGGTGAGGGGAGGCGTTAAAAGTTGAAATCTAAGAGAGAACGTAATGTACGAAAATGAGCACACGCACATGAAATTCAAAATTAGAATTTACTCTTTTTATTTGCAGTTTTTTTTTTTAGTTTCATCTGTTAAGCGTATCGTAGAAAATGAGTGAGACTTATTGTACGTATCCGCGGGAAACGAACGGGCCAATGGTATGGCAGATAGTTGATTGGCGTGTGCCAGGGCAGGTACCAGGGACTTTATATGGCTCAAGACATCATTCGTTGATTTAGAAAAATGCAAATGTAATTACGTAGCATCGTCATTATAAACGAGTGGACCTGATTCCCAAATTACCATCTGCCAATAAAGGAGAATTAGGACCGGAATTCTTCTTTTATTTTGCGCTGATTTAAATATTTATATTTAATAAATTCGAATTAGGCATCCGTGCTTCAATCCTTGCATGTAATTAACCTAAAATAGACAAATATCACTACACGCGTTTTTTGTTTTTGTTTGCGGAAAATCTTACGTTAGTCAATACATTTTCACGAAAAAATTTCTCGTAAGTTGGATTTTTCGTATGTAGAGCATTTTGTAGGTAGAGTTTCTACTGTAGATGCAAGCACAAAAAGTTGTTTTATTTTGTCAATGATCTTACGGCATTGTTCGGGGTCCTGGCAGAAATTTTGAGTTAATTTTGAGTTTTGAGCAAAAATTTCTAAAGAAACTGCTATTTCAATGTATTGTCACACCGACTTCAAACGAATTCAGTGAAAAGAAAACAAGCTTTTATAACATTGTGTATTTTCCAACAGAATTTTTCTAGCTAGTTTCACTGATATGGCAGTGGCACTCGGATACTGGTATAGGTTTTGTGGCGCAAGGTGATTGAAATTGCTCGCACGATCCAAATTAATTGCACTAAAAGCTCGTTTCGTGGGCACATTACTAAAAATTGGCACTTCTCCGTGGGCCGCACAGTTAATCTTTGCGGGCCGCATTTGACCCGCGGGCCGCAGTTTGCACACCCCTAATCTTATGCACTTCATTTCACATTAATAAATTTTGATGTGCTGAAAAAATAAAAAAAATATACAGTCAACATGTCTTGTTGTCTGTAATTGTAAAACACAATACTGTATCTTAGGGCGTTAAAAATAAAATTGTAGATTCTACTAGAGTTTTATCAAATACATCCTAAACCGATAATTTGTAATACGATTTTTTCGGAATCATATTCTATAAAATGTTAACGTTAACGTGAAGTATGTTCAACAAAAACGATTGCTAATATCTGTCAAAATCGAATACTTAGTATATTTGACTAAACCTAATTGTGTTTGGTACCAACTATAGAACGACGTTAATTTAAAAAAAAATAAAAATATTGAATACCTGTGAATACGCCATTTTGTAAACAAAAATGGAAATAATAAAAAAAAATAATAATATTCTGAGATAATCTCGCGAGTTCTTCTCTTCAGGTTCATTCGCGGGCGTTTATTTCTTAAGTTCGTTGCGTTCCATATTTTTCCATTTATTGTTGTTGTCAAAACGTCTTACTAGTTTTTTTTTCGGTATAAAACAACCCATATACTGTGAAAGTTCTACACACATTTTGCAAAATATTACAGTCTTATTATTTTTCGTCGACGCACAGTCCTTGATTTTACTTTCCTTTCGATTTGTCATATGATCTGATTTAGATTGGTATTGAATTGCTGTTGCAGTCCGTCTGTCTGATCCCTAATGTAGCAAATGCCATCACATAAAAGAATATGTTGGTAATTGATAATAAACCGTGTGTCTATTGTTATATAAACCATCGTACAAGCTATAATTTTTTCCCAACCTTTAGGAATCATATTGTTCTATATTTTCGGTATAATAATCTAGATAACCGATTGGAAATCATCCTACGATCTGTTTATTCAAACAGAATTGAAGTACAACACATTTGGAAATTGTCAATACCACATCAAAAAGAATCCCCCTATAAATTACCAAAATGCCAAAACCGCATGCAAGAATAACGGGGATGAACTAGCAATGATTAAAACGGATATTCTTCACAACTGGTTGGAAAGAGAAGCAAAGAATATGTATACAAGCTCTGGATTCGGACAAACACTATCGTTTTGGATTGGTGGCAATAAAGAGAGTGACTGGAAATGGTCTGACGGAACTCGTATACCATTGTCAGGCGAGACGGGCAGTCATTGGCGATTTGGAAGACCAGGCAAGGATTCTTGTTTGAAGATGTCTGAAACTGATATTTCATCGTCATTTTATTGGGAGGATGAATCATGTACTAGTGGAGCTGGTTACATATGTGAAAGACAAAGTTAGTCAAAAATAATTTTTATCAAACTTTAATATGGTTATAGTGTATTTTATAATTGTTTCATGTTTTGACAAACAGTCTGCTTTAGTGGTATTTTAAAAACAATATCTATTTGAGTTCGTATAGCCTAAAAAAACCATGCAAATGTTAAGCCATAAACTATAACTCAACCTTTCTAGAGGCTAAGTAATGGTCGCATATGAATTCCCGTTCCATGCATTTCCTTGTGACATGCCATGAGTAATTCTTTTGCGACTGTATTAGGTTTCGGTGTTTATTATTACATAAACTTAGATGTTATAACCCATGGCGAGATTTAAAACTGCTATACTTATCAACGTTTCGCTGTTGTAAAATACACATTCACGTTTTTCGTAAAATATTCATTTTGCATTTCACTAATTGCCATTGACTGTACTATACAATGAAACCAAATGTAATGAAAGTTGAAAATTTTTTGTTATTACCTCAACTTTCAGATATGTTGAAATTGAACTATTTTTATAAAATAAACAGCTCCAAAACTGTCAAACTAATCATTCAACAAAAACGGTGATACCCTTAGAATATTTGAATTTTAGAACAAACAGGTGTCTTTGTGGAAAGTGATTTGAACATTTTAGATTTTTCAAATTACCAACCAATCACGTGTTTGTATTTTTAGCTCCTGGCAAAGGTCAGCCATGTGATATTACCACTTGTGACAACGGAGGAACATGCAAAAATTTCGGTTGCCAAGCTCAATGTGTATGCATTGCTGGATACGGCGGTGATAGGTGTGAAAAAGGTACACTGGATCGTCCAAGTATTACCTATGGCTTGTGTTAGAGCTTTGGATGTTTTGTTGTTTGGCTTTTTTTTTATATATATCTTAATTTCTCATAGCCGTGTTTTGTAAAACAATACGTTTTGCACTAATCGATGACAATAGAGCACTCTCAACTCTTCCAGTTTTCTGTGGATTCACTGCTTTTAAAAAATATATTTCTATGTGCTGCTTTTTTGTGTAACAACCTTTATCGTACATAAACTAATTTTATTTTGGTATTAGTTATTAAACACAAGCTCTCCTATTCAGATCTAATAAAAATCTCGGTCGACAAAAATAAACTGACATTGAATGAAGGCGAATCTGAGATCGTCACGCTTACAATAACATCAGAAATCAAAGTTAAAATTATGATGTATAAAGATGGAAGCTATATATTTCAACAATCAAACGTAGAAAGATCATTCGAATTCAGTATAACTGGAAAAAGCGGAACAACAAAAGAAACTTTATATAGCTTTAATGCTCGGCCAATGCAGGGGGAAACTTTTGAAAGAAGGGTAACAGTAACAGTCGAAGTTATTTGTAAGTAGTCAAATGTTACATTAATCAAAGTGATATTCTTTGGGAAGTTCTTACTACCAGTAATTTAGATACACAAGCGTCTCTACTGAAACGTTGTTGTCAGACTTGATTACTACTATATATGATGTAATATTCACCTTGTATGAATGTACATATACAATATTTAATTCAGTTTTCGAAAATTTTGCTATTGTGTGTAAAAGCATTTGAGTGCTTTTGTATATTTGCTTCAGCTCCTGCACGCATTACCGAATTGAGTAGAGAATCAATACTTGTTCCACAAAATGGTGATTGGTACATTCGTTGTGGAGCAACGGGAGTTCCGAAACCTACAATACTATGGTACAAAGATAATGTAGAAATAAGGAGAACTGGATACGAAGTGAGACAAGATGTAAGGACTTCTTATTCGGATCTGCAAGTCCGCACAAATGCACTCGAGTCTCATGCAGGTAAAATTAAATTATTCGCTAGATAAAAGGTATCGATTTTGTCAGATAAACTTTTACAGCCATCAAGCAGATATTTCCATACTATTTATACCTATTTCACAATCATCCTATTTGTTTTATATATTCTAACATCCTATTTGAGTCTCAGATATTGGGTCAATATTTGGAAATATTGATGATATACTATGGAGTTTTCTGCTTGAAAAGTTGTGATATCGTAAACAAAATTACATTAATGACACTAGAATTAATGTCATGATAAGTAATGAAAATATAGCTTCAGAATATAAAAACTGACAAAGTGTTTTCACTTCAGGTATATACACATGTAGAGCTTCCAATAAACCACCAAATTCGAAAGAAGTTATTGTTGAGCGTTCTGCGTATTTGAGAGGTTCGTAAATTTAATTAAGCGGTGTTTACGTTAAATTTAATTAAAGATAAAAATGAGAAAAAAGAGTTTTAAAATTTGGCCTAAAAGTATATGTTTGATTATCTTTACATCCATACGTTTTCAGCAAATATATTCAATTTTTATTTTAACAAACGGATTTGATTCACAATAATTTCAGGTATAAACTACGCGGAGATAAATATATGTAGTCTACCAGAAAATTTACTGATTGAGATAAATTTATGGTAATGATTTAAAATGAGATAGAAATGTGAAAAGTGAATATTGAATAAGAATTTTCTATTGTATTTAGTGAAAATTCATGAGTCAAACTCTTCTCCAACTGACAAAGATGTGAGCTTCAGCGAAAAAATGGAATTCTCCTGCACTTTTGATGGATTCCCATTGCCTGAAGTACGGTGGTCTTTTGTTCGTGGTAAATACGAAACAAACATTCAAGAAACGGAAGGATCAATATATCAAATTGCAAAAAGTGTTTCAGGACTTGGGCCAGTAAAAACAGTTACAAGCAAATTGATGGTGACTGCCGCTGGCTGCATGGGACAGGTGGATGTTAAATGTTCCGCTAACAACAGTTTCGAGAACCCCACAGACAACGTTATATCATTTGCTGTTAATAAAAGTGAGTTTGTGAACCATAAACGATAGAATACATACAATTACATACTAACCATTAACAGTTTGTCTCTACTTTTGATACTTACGTGTGTCTATATTTCGAAACAAAGTCTTCGAGGAATTTCAAAATTCATCCACTTTATTTTCGCAGGAACAAAACTATGGAAAACAAGCGCCTTCATTTTTAACCAAATCGGCGGAATTTATCAAAAGGCTCAGTTCTACTGTAAAAGCATCAACGCAGAAATGCCTAAAATACAAGATTTTCCTACTCAGAACTTTCTTGAAAAATCTTCGGATGCATTATTGACTAATACAAATGGTAATTATAGTAAATTATTTCATGGACATTTAAATTGTGGATGATGTTTTATAATATTACAGTGACTAACATCTATGTTTAGCTTACATTGGATTGACCCGCAAGCAAGAACAAAGTTCTGTAATTTGGAGATGGGCCGACAACACTATAGGATATAATGAAACAAAGGATGAGAGGTATCTATTATATTTTTTGTTCACATTTTGCACTATTGGCTCATCAACAAGAAAACGATGCTTGAAAAAAAGGGACACGGAGGCCAAAATGATTTGTTTTTTACCAACAACCCGCCTAAAAATAAATAAATCTTTTTCTGAACAAGGCTGGAACCGTGAACCGTTATTTATCAGTACAGGTACCGTGACTTACTAGCACGGGTACACGGGTAACATTAACCGTACTGCCCTAGTTTCCCTAGACCCTGTGGCGAAGATGATTTATTCGTTCATTCTCAACGTGAATCGAAATATCAAATGATTCAAATCACAACTATAGCATAAAATTTTTCACAGTACCGGCAGTCTACTGAAACTTATCAAAAAACTCACGACTCACTGAGCACCAGACCGCTAATTTGTAATCGTGGAACCGCCACACTGTGCGCAATTTTTAATTTTGATGAAGTCATCAAACAAAACTTGACAGTGAAATACGAATTTCATAGAGCCAAGAGAATTTTTCAAATAAAGTAATAGTCTTGTATCGACCAAAACAATCTTTAACTATTGAAAATTTCAAAGCAAATGGTCTCGTAGTCAAATAAAAGGCGATTTTTTCATAACAGCAAGAAGAATGATAGCAACAAGAACAACAACAATATCATGATAACCAAAAAAATCATCCAGTCTATGTAGTGTCTAATATCAAAAATCGTTGCCAATACCTTTAAATCTTTACAAGTACATAATCGTATTTGAATATTTTCAGATGGACTTTCACAGCCTGGACATACCGATGAAGGGTTGTTTGTAGGTTGGGCTAACGGACAGCCCAGTAAAAATGATGAGAAAAACTGCGTTGTAATGGTACACGATAAGTCTCGTAAATGGTACAATGTACCTTGCAGTTATTCCACTGGATTTTTTTGTGAAAAAAAGGGTGAGCGCTCTATGATTTCTAGAATTTCCACAGTACCTACCTCGAAATAAAAATTTATTATTTCTCGTGAGTAAAACTTCTTGCAATGTATGTAAAACACTATTTGACAGTATTGCTGTTACCCAAAATTGAACTTGTTGAAATAGGGGAATGTTCGGCTGATATCAAAATAAAATGGAAAGCATCTTCTCAAGCTATTGGAATTAAACATAGGTATGAATGCTACTACATCATTTATGGTTATTGTAAGTTTCTAATTTGTTTATCGGTACAAATATATTCAATGACTGACCAAATATTAGGATTAGGACGTTCTCTACAAATAGGAAACCGAACATTAATCCTAGATTTGTGCAGGCATAGTATATAAAGTGAGCCGATTTAAAGTTTAAGTACTGGTGACGAATTGTTTTAATATTTGCAAGACATTTAACAATTCTGTGAAATTTATTCAATCTAATCTTCTCTAATGGAGATTTTCTTTTTCAAATTCATCCAAGCATATTGCTAGATACAATAAAGTATACGGAGAACGTACACATCAATGCCATGTCAATATTTTGAGTGATATTAAATTGAGTAATATTTGAGTAAGTTATCAAGGGTGTTAACATACTCATTTATTTTATTACAATTATTTATTATAAACACAGAATAGAATTCGTGGACAATAAAAATGGAAACGCAAAGAAGTACGACCCGATCGATATCATACCAAACAAAGAATCTCTAATAAATGAAATCACATTGCCCTTTGCTACAAATTATACTGTAAAGGTGAGATATTTTAATTTCAGATTATCTTTACGCTTTCGTTATATGAATTTACTTTACTGATATTTTGACGTTAATAGTCGACTCGTCAGATAATAGAATACATTTAGATGATCTACTCCGTGTATCTTGAATTGATCATAATGTATTGCAGACGATGAAAAAAAATGTATGATTTCAAAAATATTGTTCTCTGCTCAATAACGTAGTCATGATATGTTTTTACAATTATCTATTAATAATAAAAAAATTATCGTGATGTAATTACTAAAGATAATTCCTCACCTAAACTTAATAAACTGCAGTTTCTGAATTATTTGAACCTTTTAAAGTTTATTTCATTTGAATGCTTTGTAAATAAGTATGCATCGTCTTTTTTGCTTGAACAGCAAGTAAATTTTGTACTCAAATATATTTTTAAAACCTAGACGGAATCATACTTGATCAAATTCATATTTTTATTCAAGATATATGTTTGTCCTGATGAGTGCGTTTCTTCATGTAACTCAGAAACCCAATTCGTTACTGATGGAGGGCTTCCGAACGCTGTGAGAGATTCAAAAGTTATGCAATTAACATCTGAATCAATTTGTATTGTTTCGTGGAAAAAACCGAAACCTGAGATCGTGTTATTTCCTTATCAGGTAATTCAACTTGTTCATAAAAGTATGATTCCTTGTGGTACAGTATTTGTTGTTTTATTGTAGATTGAGTTATCCTACTCTTTGAAAATGTAATTGTGTATATATAATTAAATCTGTGTATTCTGTTATTCTTCAAAACAAAAAACAAAATATTTAAACACTGCTTTTAGATCAACATTACTTATGAATTGAATCACATATCTTCTCATAGTCCCATGATTCGTGAACTGAATAAAAACCAGCTATTTTCGTCTAACAACGTCAGTTTCACTTTTGAACCATCCCCAAATCGAAAGTATACATTTTCAATTCGAGCCCAAACGTGCTCTGGCTTTGGCGAGTCTGCAAAAGCTGTGGGGAAATGTTCAACTGGAGTTGCAGGTGAAAACATTTTTATTTACGATAACAACCATTATAAACTTTATACAATCAAATTATCAATGCCCAATTATAGACACGAAAGTGGCACTTCGTTGCAGTTTCTAAATTGCCTCAGAGCATTAAGTTATGCGGGCAGGTGTGATGAGGCGGTTAAATCAATAGTCTGTCACATAACAACTATCATTTATTGTTCTTGCAACCTATCTTTCGGTACCGCAAAGTGAAATCTACAATTGGTGAAGCTTCGTATAATCAAAAAAATGGTACCTAATATTCAACGGAATTTTTAGCATGTGCTTTATTTACCAGCGCCCCCAAACATATCATCTCCAATATTACCTACATTTAAAAATGAGGACGGAACAGCAAACTTTTCAATTTCAAGCATAAACGAAGAAAATGGACCGATAAGGTTGGAAACTATGACCATTCCTATTTTCTACCAAAGCTTTTAATTTCTACAATATTTGCAACAATTTTAATAAATTGTATTGGATTATTGTAATATTTTTTGAATAATACAACGAATGAATCCTAATTTATTTAATATTTCATACCCATTTTCCTGACCCTATTGATTTGAGCTGGTTCAAGTCATAATCGATTGGGATTTACTAAAGCGTAATTCAACGCTATAATTTTTGTATTGCCAGTGCTTTCGGCACCTCAGTGGTTGCTAAAACTTCACTCCTTTTTTTCTGAATGAGTGCAGTGCACATGGCCTTGATTTTGAGCAAATTTTCTTATCAAAAATTTTACTAGAAGAACGTGACACTGTATCTATTTTAAAACCTGCCAATCTACATAAATAGTTTAAAGAAGATTGGTATAAATTATCGTACAACGATTTTGTCTTTTTTTCTCATTTCTTCCAAATTTGAGTTTAGTAGCATTACCTCAATAATCTTAAACATCAGGATGTGTGTCGTTTCAGAAAATACTTCGAACAATGTCGGAATTACCTAGTCATTTTGATTTTGTTTTCTTCTTTATTATTCTACGAAGCTGCATATTCATTATTGGAGTCGTTGAGCCGAAAGCAAGTCGTCCAATAGAGGAATCATACAACCAAGATCGGATTGAAAAAGCAAATACCAACTTGAATATGTCTTCCCCGGGTGAAAATGCCGAATACATTGCAATTGTTTTGTCAAGATCTTCAGTTATAAATTTGTGAGTTACTAGTTGATTCTTACAAAAATTTTCAAACGCAAATAAATATCATAATAATTACGTGGTATTTTTGTTGCGCGTGGGCGTGATATACATTACAAATTTGCTAGATACAAATTGTACACGTGAAATACTATATTTCAGGACTAACAACGACGGGTTCATAAGCTTATTGCTCGGAGACAATCAAACAACTTATTGTAACGTATTGGGTAAATCACAACATAGGCAAAAAAGAGCGATTCGTGAATTTTCTGGAAACAATCCTTCATTGGACAAAGAAACAAATTACGGGTATGGTATTAAATAATAGGTACATATAATTGTTTGCGTTTAATTAGCCCTATTTGGTGATCATGTCTTGATAAAATTGTCATATTTGGCGATCATGCCTTGAAAAAAAAATTTTGCGTTTCTGGTGCCAATGTGTTGTATACAAATTTTTATTCTTTGTAGGTTTTTTACTGTTACTTCCACGCCGAATGATAATGGCGATGTCATGTACAAAAGTAGCAAGATGTCCATGCTGCAGAATAGTAAACAAGAACCCCGTAATTCAGGTAAGGCTCATTTATCACGCACCGTATTGTAGAATTGGCAACTTTCATTTATAACAACAAAATACAGATTCTCCTACTTATATTTCGATTGTTTTCAATATTGAAACAACGGTAAAAGCAATATTTAATGGTGTTTTATCTGTGATACCTAAACTAATATTTCGCCTTTTTCAGAATTGACGTGGATTGTTGCAGTCGTAATCGGTGTAATAGTTTTTATATGTTTATTACTTCTAGCTGTTTTACTCCTTCGAAGGTAAGTGTGTTTCTAAATTTATCAAAATATATGAAGGAAAAAAATTATACTATTTTAAGATTACTGCACCCCAATTCTTTATTTTAGGTTGACGCGCTTCCCAGTTTTGAGCATTTATTTTTTCTCCGTCTAGTAATAGGTACATGTTTGGATTTGTGCAATTTTAAATTATGTACTTTGTTAATGCTTACACAACACTTTAAACCGCAGATATACTCAGGTGTTGCAAGAACAAGACAAATTTGCAACGAAGTGTGAATAGATAGGTGAATTAAACAAGATGTGGAATCGTTAGAGCGCATCCATACCAACTATATCAACGATACTAATAAATGCCTAAACAATAAGGAGCGTTTACTTATATTTTTAAATATGTTATTCACATAATCTAATAAAAAAAATTTAAATATTATAAGGAAAGATATTTTTTGATGTCATCAGCAAAAATTTATAAAATTCTTACAAACATAGCGTATATTTATGTTTTAATATAGAAGACAAGACAAGGCTCCACCGGAAACTGAATCAATGCCGATGGAAAGAATTGTACAAAGTGCAGGTAATACAACTTACCATTCAATATAAGAGCGTTGTTATTACTTTGCTTTCTGGCATCTGGTTCTATTAGATGTGTTTTTTACTTACGTAACTGATTACTATTTTAGATTAAGTTAGATTATATTGATCTACATAAAGATATATAAATTCTGGCCATATTCTGTTCAGAACCAACATACGCTAACTTGACGATGGAAAGTAAAGAATTAAGATCAGATACCGATATTCCGCTACAAAGACTAGAAATTGTGTACAATTCAATGAAGTTAAACAATAATGCCGAATTTGAAAAGGAATTTCAGGTGTGATTCTTTACATTGGGGTGTTAGAATAACAAATTGGCAATAAGTTTGTCTTTAGTAATCATAATATGAATTGTTTAATTTTGTAATTTTTCAAATTATTTGTCTTTATAATATATTAATAATCAACAAAACTTATGTGGCAAATTGTAAAAGAAATATGAAATTGTCTGGTAAGAATTTCCATTATTTTCCATTCGTTCACAAAGAGTTTAAATTTTTATTTTGCATAAATTAAAATATGCATTTTTACATATTAATTTTTGGTGTTCGATTATGCTTTTGTCGGTTTATCTTCACCTGCAGCAATGATAAGTTATATCTACAATATCTAATACATGTACATATGAAACGCTTTATATCTATTTATTTATTTTCAATTAATATTAATATTTAGAAACTCAAAACTGACGCCAAAGGAAGCACACATTCTACAGATGTTGGTTCTGCTTCCTCGATAGCTGCAAAAAACAGATACAAAAACATTTTACCATGTAAGCATCGGTATATATTTGGAATGTTCAATATGAGAAAATAAAATAAACAAATTTTTTTACTCAAACTTTATTTAGACGACAACACCCGAGTGAAACTGAGTGGCAATGGTGATGTCAGCTACATTAATGCGTGTTATATACAGGTTAGTTAAATTAGATATAGCGACAGATTTCTTACAACTAGAACAGCCTTATTGCCCAGATTTAATCCTTAAAATTTTGCTAGGGTTTCAATGAGCCCAGGAAATTTATTGCTACACAAGGACCGCTACCCAACACAGTTGATGATTTTTGGAGAATGATCGTAGAACAAAGATGCAATGTGATCGTTATGCTAACAAAATGTTTTGAAAAGGGAAAGGTAAGCATTAGTTATAGTATCGTTAGCGATTTTTGCGTATAACTTGAAAATTATTACGGTACTTTCTTTAGTTTTTCAGTCTTTCAACTGCGTGTGAAGATGTCTTATGATATCTTTTATATTGACTTTTGTATATAATTCAAAGGGTTTTCCCGTTGAACAAGGTTTTCAAAAACACTCGGCTAGATAAGAAGCTACAGTTCGAAATGACAGGAATTTTATCGGTCCGACATTTTCTACCCAATATATTGTCCGTTAGCGAAGTGTTAGATACGGGACTTGAACCCAAATATTTTAGTTTGTAATACCAACATTGGTAAATAATACTTCATATTAAACTTCCTACCTAGCAATCAAATACTATTTCATTTTCTTAATATATATTCTATTAAGAAAAAATGTGAGAAGTATTGGCCGGAACAAGGTGAAACGAAGCAATATGGTAAAGTAGTTGTTCACAACATTGCAGAAGCTGTTTTTGGAAGTTATATAAATAGAACATTGAGAGTGAAAAATGGTCAGAAGGTATCGTTAAATTTTTAGGAGTAAAACTATTGTAATTTAATACTTAATCATAATTATAATAAAACTCATTTATATTGATAGAAATAATCTGTGTTACATATTTAGGTGAAGTAAAATATTTTTTCACATAATCAACAACTATGTCATATAGTAACCATCGCCATCAATACGTGTGAATATTCAACCTCTACCTAATGATTACATTTTCTTCAAAGTTAAAAATTTATTTTCGTGTAATCTCAATAATAAAGATCACAAAAAAACACTCTTTTTACAATCAGAGTGAAGAAATTGTTCAGCATTACCAGTTACTAAAATGGCCAGATCACGGTGTTCCAATGACCACAAGCAGTTTTTTCAGAACATATAGCGCGGTGTCTGAATGTATGGAAAGAAGCACTGGTCCAACAGTCGTTCATTGTAGGTAGGAGAGAAAAGACATTTTTACCTCTGAGGAAATAGTCCATACTATGTTGTAGGGTACGTTGATGTTGTTTCTTGTGACTCCGCGCGTGCTGAGACTGGGCTGCCTTCCAGCTGTCAGCTTCAAATTCTCTAAAAATAACGAGATTGCTTGATTGTTTATTGTATTCTCTGATAAAACTAGCGGTGAAACACTTAACTTCAAGTACTATTGAGGCAGGATATTGGTTTTTGCAGTTGAGTTGTGCGCTGTCCAAGAGTCTCAAAATTGAAAGCGTCAACGCATCGCGCAACCAATCAACGACCGACACGACCCAGACCTAGTTGTTTGAAATTTGATTTAACATTGTTTTAGTGCTGGTGCAGGAAGGACAGGAACATTCATCGCATATGACTATTTATCAGCAGAGAGAGAGAGATTAAACCGTGTTGATGTATACAATTGTGTAATTAACATGAGACAACAACGTGTTGATATGGTGCAAAATTGTGTAAGTCATAATTTATTGTTTACATCATTCGTTAACGTACGTGTTGTTTTATTTATTTCTTCGGATTTTTTGTTTTATTTTAATCAAAATGCGAACACATTACCATTGCTTGCTCACCAATAATTTTACCAAACTCTGTAATCTCAGGTCTTACTGTACTGATACCGACGAGCGAACTCTGTGCCCATATATCTGAGTATTGTTCTATTATTCATTTATTTATATGATACTTTTTATTTAGGACCAATATATCTTCATACACAAGCTGCTCTTAGAGTCGTATTTACTTGGAATCACCGATTCGGGACCGGATTCATTCCATGCAACAAGCGGGTAATATTTGTTATTAGATCAAGTCAATAATATTTGACCAATGACCAATCCTTCAATATTTTACCATCGATTGTAATGTTTTAAATGCCAGTCATTGACAAAAAATATTAAATAAGCTACATACAGAAAGCGTAGACATATATACTGCAAGCAAACACGAACGAGTGCTCAGCTGGAAAATATGACAAACAGACGGTCCTGTTACAATTTATTCATGATAATATAAACACTTTAAATTTGTTTTGTTAGTTATCCTAAAGAAGAAAGAGATATCAACGATGAATTCAGAAGACTTTCAACAGTTGATCCCATGAAAAATAAAACTTATGGTTCCAGTTTCAAGAGTGGTAATAGAAATAAAAATATACTACCCTGTAAGTAAAATGTAGGCATTTGCATATTTTAGGAATTAATTTGTCATCTAAAACAGGGTAATGCTCAAATAGGTGGACGTGAAGGTTCAATGGTATTTTCAATGTACTGGCGCAATATACGTAGAAGTAGTTAAATTTCTGGGTTAAATTATGAGAATCATAGATTTCGAAGAAATTGTAAAATAAAATTAAAAAAAATTGAGACAAATTTGAAAGCGATTTATTCTCATCAACAAATGTCATCCAAACAACAACAATTTAGTAAAATGAAACACGACACCGCATACGTGTTGTTAAAAACATTTATTTAGGGATTACGAGGCCAAATATTACATGATTGAAAAGAACCAAATCTATCCCGTTCTTCGACTAAATCCATTACATCTTGTGAGAATGCAAAATGCTTTTTTTTTTTTAGTTTTTTAGCGTTTGTTTACGTTAAAACAAATTTATGAAAGGCTCGGACACAACTCGAACGCATTACTTTAAATACGAACAAGAAAATGTATTACTTAGATTTATCTTAAAAACTCAATAATCAATAAATCAATCAAATAGAGTCAATCAGTCTTGGTAGTATGACTGTTTGTTTTTCTCAAAATAATCATTCAAATTGTTTAACAGACTCGTTTGTTAAATTAAATTGAATCTGGAGGAAGTCGGAACGTTTTCAATTAGCAAATGTTTTCGTATTTTGCATAATATGTGTAGATTATCAACTTAGTTATTTGTGGTTGTTTCGTATACTAAAAATCGTTAAAGAAAGTTCAAATTTTAATAAAATTTAGTTGTACAGCTTACACAATGTATAACATGTTATAATTTTTCAATATTATCGATAATTCATACCTCTATAATCTCATATATTAATATTGCTCATATTTATTAAATCCTTGTAATTCATCAAATATTTCAGATGAGCGTAACAGAGTCAAAATAAATCCACTGAATGATGAGATTGATGTTCCTTATGTAAATGCATCTTATATTGAGGTAAGGTATCGATTGACTTGGATTTTTTATTTGAAAATTGGAATATTTTATGAACAATCTTCATGAATAATATTTTCTTCCAGTAGGATGTAATTAGATGGAACAAATAATGAATAAAATGCGGAACTGTTAATGTTTTTTATTTTAATTTTGAAGAGTTATGATGATTCATATGCTATAATTGCTGCTCAAGGACCAGTTTCTGCTTCCGTTGAAAACTTTTGGAGATCAGTTTTTGATAATGATGTCTCAATAATAATTATGTTAACAGATTGCAAAGAAAACAACAAAGTATGTCATATGGTTTTTTAAATATTTTAAATGATTATATTAAGATTTTAAATTTATCATCCAATATATATATATATATATATATATGTATGCATCATTGGCACAGGGTTGACGTATGGAACCTTTCGTGAATTTGTTTTTGTTGTTTTCGTTAGTATTCTTTTGTTATTGATTCCTCTTTCTCTTTATCTACTGAACAAATTTCTTTGAAGTTTTCAGTTGTTAAAGACTGTTGTTGTCGTAGAAGGATATTACATTTATTTATTTTAATAAAGTTATATCCATATATTTATTCAACTTTCAGTACTAATGAGTATAATTTTTTTTAGGTCATTTAGATTTGATAATATATTATATAAAATTCTGACATAACATTGGAGTGTACAAAATATCATCCAATCACGTGTCGTAACATTTTTAACCTATTTTTGTCTTTGCACACATTTGCAATTTATTTTTCAAAATCCATCATTGAACATATTCTTGCCGATCGCCACAAATTTTGTATTGTATTTTGGCAAACAAGTAATGTGTTTTTTTTTTTTTATTCCTTTTTGCAGGAACAATGTGTACAATACTGGCCAGATGGAGTTGAAAAAACGTTGCAGTTACAAAATGTTTCTGTAGTATTTGATGAAGAGCATATCAAAAATGGAATAACGTGTCGCGATCTTCGTGTTTCCTTGGAAGGAGAAATCAAGGTTGTTAGAATAAAGCAAAAAATAGAAAGCTAGTAATACAGGTGGAAAGCAGCCTTTATTGATTAACTAACATGAACTCTTTTTATAGTAAATGCCAGGTATCTAGAGTAATCTTAATTAATACAAATTATTTCGTTTTTCCATTACAATTATTTTATTTACAACTCTAATCATAATTTTTAGCAAGTGATGCAGTATCAATATAAAGGGTGGAGTGTAAGCAATTGCCCATCAGATCCGACGGGAGTTCTTGATTTGATTAATATTATGACTGACAGAGTTCGATCACTGAACAATGCAACAGTTATTGTTCATTGCAGGTACTTAGATGAAATCTACAATTCAAAGTTTATAAATTATTGTAGCATTTCAAACCAATAAAAAATATAATAAAATCTAAAAATATATATTTCTTATTATATGAAAACGAAATTGCAAACGTTGGTTAGCAACCATTGTACGACTGAAATTTATCAGAATTATAGTTAGCGGCAAAGTGACTCAAAAAGTGATAGAGAATTCACATTTAAAATCGTGTATTAACCCGAAAAAGCCGATAAATATTCGTTATTGTTTGATTATTCAACTTAATATTGTACAAAACATCACTGTTTATAATGAAACTTTCACTAAACAAACCATATTTGCATCCAATACTCATGCATATGTTTATAATAATGTGTGAAGATTAACACAATAGAAATATTTTTCATACAGTGACGGCGCAGGAAGAACTGGCACATTTTGCGCAATTGTTAATCTTATTGAAAGACTCAAATGCGAAAACAAAATTGATGTGTTCAGAGAAGCTAAAGATCTGCGAGACTCTAGAGCAGGGATGATACAGACTCTGGTCGGTTTTCATAGTATTTATCATTGCGCGATAATATTTTCATATTGAAGTGAATGTATATATAACACTTGCTAATGGTTTAGACAAAATCCTAATTTCTTGGCTTTGCAATTCATTTGATACTTCATGATATGCTCTTACTCATTCACATCCTTATTGTTAAATTATACATGCATAGAAATCTCTGTTCTATTAATGAGTTCGTCTAGCAGACTTTTTCAATTAAATCGTGTGTTTCAGGACCAGTACAAGTTCTGCTACCTTGCTGTATCAACGTATTTATCATCTTTCGATCTCTATTCAAATTTCGATGGAAAGGAAGAAGAAACAGTTTATGAGAATCTGTAACGAAAATTAGTTCCACATTTTTTTCTTCCTATTATCTCACTTTATAGGATATATTTTGATGCTAAACATTTAAGTGCCATAAGCCTACAATGGTTTAGATTTTGTTACCATGTTTCTGACATTTTGGCAGCTATTCTATACTACACGAGTAAAGGCTTTGATCGTGTTTACAATACCTATGCAATTCAGTACCCTAAATGAAAATTGACTCCTGTCAACCTTATCCTGTATCGTTCATATTTTTGTGACCTTTCTCATATTTTGTTATTGTTAATGTAATTATACAAGAGAGCAATGCTCAAATATATATACACGGAAACCGAAACGAAGTAGTACGTGTATGCAATCGTTAGCGGTAGACTATCGGTACCGCATTATTCACAACTTCGCCTGCTTACCAAAAAGCAACCAAAGCAAACGCGAAACCGTCACAAGATGCACAATGTTTACTTTTAAAACGAATCCCATAAAAACTATAGAGATTTATGAAGTGAATAAAAGCAATAATAGACTTCTAGCAACAAATACAGTTTTTAGTCAGTGAATATTTTGAAACGATTGGTGTTGTAATTGAATAGAAAAGCGAATTGTTCACAACAACATTAATAACAACAAGAAAAACAAACACCAACGATCCAAGGTTCACTTTGTGTGCAATAAAATAAATAAATTATAGAAGGTATATCGAAAATTGAATACACTGTTGTCATGTGAGTACTTTCAAGTGCTTCGATCGCAATCCACGTGATTGTAGATCACCTCCAGCAGCAATTGCATTCAGAAATTTTACGGGTTGCCAAAAGATAAATGTAGAGTCACATTATTTATTTATACCATTACAAATTTTAGCTAATCAATTCATGAGTGTCTGAGTAATTTTGTATTTCAATGTGATTTAACATGAAGAAGGTAATGATATAAATGTAAATGATTTATTTAATTTGTTAGGTCAATGGGACGTTTATCCCACCTGTATCAATATACTCATCATTTGTAAACTTTCACCATCCAGTATTTTTCTTTGCTTTTTTATTTGAATGAAACAATATTATCGCTGTGAATCAAGTTAAATAAGTATTGAAAACAAATCATTAAGCATTCTATGATATTCAAATATCTCTAAACAGACAAATTCCAATTATTAAAGTAATGAGTCTTAGTTATTTACAAAAACATAGTAAAATGAAAGGAATTATACAAGTACCCAAGCTCAGGATTTCTGAACTGCTTTTACTGTTCCTTTATATTCTGTGCACAGATGATAAATATCAGAGCAAATCAATTTATAGATTTCCATCGCATATGTCTGTGTTGATCACTAACTTTGGATTTTCATTCATTTTTAAAAGTTAAAAGTGCTCACATTAAATTACATAAGTTGATCAATAGATAATTTCTTGATTATACGCACTTATATTTTAAATGACATTTAATTGTTTACAATACCTCGCAGAAGCCACTAGATATTATTCAATTCGAACATGGGAAACGATCTGTGAATGAATAACATGCCACCAAACAAACGTAATTTCAAACCAGATTATATGCAAATTGAAAACGTAAAATTTATTCGACGACTTTCAATGAATTATATTTTGCATTGTCACAATTTCACTGGCCCACTCCTTGACCATGAAGCACTGCATTCAACAGCTTGAGAGCTGTCTTTAGCCGCAATAAATCGGTAGAGCAAATATCCGCCGATGACGAGTGAAGTTATGGGAGAAATGTACATCGTCAATGTTGCATCTGTACTATAGAACCACTCAACACGACGACAAAAGTTTGTTATCCAAAATACAGCCTTTTCTATCCGGAAAAGCGATCTCTTTTGTTCTGGCTGCCTTGCAAACCAGTGCACCAGGTGAGTTCCAAAATCAATTTGAAGGGAAAAACGTTTTTCTTGAGCAGATAATCTCTCGACTTTGGCTAAAGATTTATTTAGCTGATTTGCAATCCCTGGATGCAAAGTATTGATTTTGATGATAAAATTCGCCGTTCGAGGACGAGAAAACAATCGTGAAGCTGTGACAGTAATTCTCATATATATTGGCTTTGACAGTAGTCTGCCCTTCAATTCTCGAAACTGATCAACATTTTTAACTTTCAAAACTCTTGATGTGTTTGCAAATAATTTTTGATTACTCGAAATAACATTAACTGTTTCAGGATCATGATGAACAAATCCATCACTACCCAATTTGAAGCAATCTGGCAGACAACGTATGAACTCGCTTTCTCCGGTAAACACAATGTGTGGTTCTCGTTCTTGTGTTTGCCAAGTCATGTTAACTTTTAAATAACAAGTCTCGAAGTGAAAGCAAAAGTAATTTCAGGAGTATTTGGATCCTTCATATTCTATTTAAGCTTCCACAAATGCAAATAATTGATATCAAAAGTTGCATTATCTCATCGGTCTTTCTGGATTAACTCATTTGCAATTATTCATGATTACTACGGAAGTGGGAAGTAAGAGCTTATACACTTATAAAAACCACTTGCGAAACCTTATTCATGCTTAGATGTCACTTCCATTTTATAAGTTGTTAGAAATAACAATTATTATATTCCCGGTGCGTTGGTTTAAAGGTTTATATAAAATTCATAAAAAGAACAAGTCGCCATGTCATTTAATTGTTTGATGTGTGTACTCTTTGCCTAACCCAACGTTTTCTTATCGAGGGAGATCACTTTGTATTCAGAGACAGTTTCACAAATATTGTTTAGTTACTTGAATAAAAACATTGAAGATCAATTTTGCAACACAATACATACATAAGTGCCCGAAAACTACAATCGTAAGATGCCAATGCTCCGCGTACCCAGAAACAAAAGCCAGGACTCTCATTTCAAATCTTAAAATGCATACCTTTAGGACAACGGCAATAATCTCAAGTATTAAACAAAAATGCTGTCGATGGTAGTCTATTGTATCCTTGGAATTGACATATAATTTAAATAATTAATCAATAATTGGTAACTAACGTGAATTTATGGCAAAAATTCATAACGATTCAAGAAAAACCCTTATTATACGTTATTTTTAAAAAAAATGTCTGTATAAAATAAACTAAATATATTAATACTTAAGCAGAATGCGTAACAATGAGAAGAAATTGATAAAAATAATGATAAAAAAATTCCATAAGACACTTTTTCAAAGGTCATGCATAATAGTTAACATATGAGCAGATAAAAGCGTACTAGCGAACAAACAAAGTTTTGTTTAAGCTGAAGACATCTACTTTGTGCGGTTATAGGAAAATTATATTAAAAATTAAATAAAAAAAGTTTCCTTTTTATTGTTATTGCCACATTTTATACTCATAATTGGAGTAAAATAATATCCCGACTCAAACATCCAACCATATTTGTGTTACTAGAAATATCAAACAAAATGTAGTAGAAGACACTTTTGATTTTTTATTAATTCTATATAGATGCACTGCCAGTGTATATACTTATTATTATGTGTTTCATGTGTACGAAAATAAATGACTCATCTTAGTACGGACGTCACTTCCGTATTCTGGAGAGTAGGTGAGTTGCTAGGTTACGTGCAAAAGAACACATTCCAAATTACTCCAGCAGTTTCTATATTGAAATTGAGAACGTGACTTTTGACACAATCACATATCTACCTCACTTACATAACACTGCGCTGTAGTTAGGTACTTACTACGTCATTTAACATTGACCCAATTATGAGTAATGCGTTGAAACTAAATTAATTTTTCTTGCGTCACACGGTTGTAGAGTTTCAGAGTTTTGAATTGAAGCCAAAATAATCTAGGCAACACGAGGTTATTGCTTGATGTAGAGCCGTTGTCTTACCTTCTTCGATGGTGTGACTTTACCTGAGCAAAATAGATGCTGCTAGTCTTTACGCTGTGATAATTCCCATATACATTTACCGTAATTAATTTTAAGAAACCCTTCTATACTAAATATAATAAACAATAAAATTTACTATGAATCAAAATCAGTAACTTTTGGTTTTTTGTTGTTAAAAACATCGACCCCAGAATATTTTCAGGATAACCAGTTTGGGGTTGCGTTTGGGGTTGATAATACACATTATACAAATGCTTCAGCAATGTACAAAATATGATATGACTACAATAACAACACCACTTTGAATAGGATTCTGCGTTCATGCTAGTGGAACCGATGCGTATACTGCAAGGATGCTGTAGCTGTAATAAACATGACAATCTTTTATTTAATTGGATATAATAACAACACCATTGCATTATTTCTTGTTAAACAAATATCTGCAAAATTTTGGAATCATTGATTATCTTTGAAAACCAATGCATAATCGGTAATGAAGCCCGTTTAACAAGGCTTCATCATTTGGATAAATTTTGGTGCTCAATTTCAGCAGAAAACGATCACTAGACGCCCGGTATTGTCTGCAAAGGAAAATTTTTGTAATAAAAATAAATACGTAACTGAATGTAGTAATGTGACGAAATGTAATGAACTATGCCACGAAATTCAGTTTCCCTAATATAATATATATCGTCACGCTAATAACCGAATTGCGTAAGTAATTTTTAGCAGTTTTGAGAAAAACGTAAAAAACTTCCTAATGATATTGTTATGCCATTGAGAGTCAATAATTTGCCATGGTTCAATTTTTTGATCGTAGCCGGATTTAAGTTAATTTGTATGACGCAGTTAAGTGACGTCATAATGGCGCACTGTGACTTACGCAGAAGTGTGTCTATGACTTGGGGACATACGCAATTTTGCAACTATACTATATGCACCAGTCCTGAAAACTAAACATTCCAAAAACGAATGTAATTCTTGGTATCTACAATGTCTAATCCCCAAAATAGCTAATCAATTTCAATTACATTATTTTTTATGTTTAAAAATATATATTTCTTCAATATAACACGTTCTGCACACCCACCGAAATAAGACTAATATTAAATATAAAGAATTAAACAGCAATGCACCCAATATAAAAGCCAACCAAGGTGAATTGAACTCGGACAGTGAATATCACAAGTGCACGTCTTCCTATACTGTAGTATAAATTCAAATTAATACGCGCTAAGCTAGAATCTGAGATGCAAAAACTCGAAAATCCTTAGCCGATGTTATTTTGCCTTTGTGACGTCACAATAGTCCTGCGGTACCAATGATAATTCATTATGACGAAACAATTGCACAAATGTGCATGTCATACTAAATCTCCATTTTTATGGGTTTCGAAATTCTTAAAATAAAATCTGAGTTAACAGACAGGTGCGCGGCATTACATAAAACCCCTTTTTTTTT